GATTGCCATTAATGCAACAGGATTTTTACACCCTCCTATACCCTCTTCAGCCTGCCATATTAGGCTGCCTAAATTCTGTTCCACAGGATTTCCCAGCTCTCCGGAGCAGATTTTGGCAGTGCACAGGAGGCTGCCATAAGAAACATCTTTTCTTGTTTGTGGTGGAACACCACAATGGATTCAGGCGAATATTTGTGAGCTATTCGGAATGTTCAAAAATTTTGAAGCCATCTATGTTGACAAATACCTATGCTCAATGGTGGTGGTAAATTACTTTTTTAAAAAAATTGCAGAAAGCAATTGTGCTTGCACTGTCTTTACAAATACACTAAAAGTAACATCAGTACTGACCAGCAGAAAATTAAGGAGTCATACACTTGTAATATCTAACTATGACATAGTTTCAATTAAATTGAGACATTAGAGCTTGGAAAAATTACTTTTAGGAATACAAATCAAAAATCCTAATGACTATGTTAGCTGAGCATTTCTAGGAGTTGCAGTCCCCCTCCCACTCCAATAACTATCTAGTGTGTAGACAAACTGTCTGCTATCAAGATCTCAGCTAACCGACTGCACCTTTTCATTCCTTTTAAGCAAACGTTCAAGTCTTCCAAGTGACTAGGCAAAAATACATTTTTAACAAAGACATGATGCCAATAGGTTGCACTGGGAGAAGAATGTCCCCAACAGGCTTACCTGGCATTTCTTTCAAAAACTGGTGCAAAAACTTCAAAGAAATTTTCCTTTGCTTCACTTTTAGAAGGAACTGTGTTATCAAAAGTAGGATCTACACTGTTAAATGCTCGTCTCTTTACAGGATCTGACAAAATTTCATAAGCTGCAAAATGAAATTAAATTGCCAGAAGTTATTCCATGAAAGAGACAAGAACTATTTTATGCAGTTTTTCTGTACAAAACCTAAGAACTATTTCTTACCTTTTGTTATACAAGTAAAGTAGTCATTGTCACCTTCATCTATCTGCTCTCCTGCTGCTTTTCGCTTGTCAGGATGATGTTTCAAAACCATGGCTTTATCTATTGTTTTAAAAAAAGAAAAAATCCAACTGAAATGCAACCCATTATCTTCACAGCATGCATAATTACATTTTTAATTTTAACTAAAATTAATTTTAAATTTTAAATAATCATGTAAAATTATTTTCTCCAAATTATGTCCCTTTGTATTTCATGTAGTTTCTTAGAAGAAAGGGATGTAGTTGTGACATTTCATATGTTTCATGATATAAACATTGCACTGTACAAATAAAATGATACTTCAATATCTACTTACATCAATGGAAAAATGTAACACTATAGAACATTCTAGAACTGCTTATAAAACTGGATATTTTTATATCAAGAATTAGTGAGAGGTACTTACGAGCTGATTTGATTTGTTTCTGAGATGCCTTGTATCTTATATGTCCTAACCCAAGAACTAAATAATGATCCTGATTCTGGAAAAAAAAAACAATAATTAACACCAACCCATGGTAAACAGCAACTGCCTATAAGAAGTACCCATGGTAAGCTACTCTTACCATCAACTCTCACTGGCTACTTGTTTTGACCCTACCGTGCTTAATGCCTTTAATCCCTTCAAATGCTTTTGAAAAGACAACAAGCCAGCCATGCAGTAAGAAGACAAACTCTCAAAGTAGATTAAAAGAACTTTCACTGAGCACCCAATTGTGGTTTACAATAATATACCTTCCAATCTTTTGGATCAAGGGTTTTTAACATAGGGTATTCTTCCAACTGTAACTCTTCATCTCCTGATTCTTCAGAGAGCTCTTTCTCATCTTCCAGCTCCTGGAATGAGGCCGAAGCATGTATGTTCCTTCTCTTAATAAATGCTTCAAACCATCTCCCCACAGGTTCAACTTGGCAGAGCACAGATGCTGTGAATGAAAGCAAAAGGTGAGAATCTTTACCAAACCTGAATGTTCAAAGTTCATATCCCACCCTACAAATCTGCATGGATTTACAGACGGCTTGACTTACAGACTTTTTGAGTTACAGACTTCTCTGGCCGCAAAATTTAGGTTTGACTTGCAGCCTGAGAATTGACTTACAGACCAGAAAAAACCCAAAATGGAACAAAAACGGCCTGTTACGGGATTAATCGGTTTTCAATGCACTGTAGGTCAATGGAGACTTGACCTACATACTTTTTGACTTGAGACCCGCCTTCCAATACGGATTAAGTTCTCAAGTCAAGACCCCACTGTACTCCTTCAAGAAAAGGGACATATCCTACAAACATATGAAAAAGCAAATCATAGTTTAATATCACAAGTGTACCATACTGATTAACCAATGCATTTTTTAAAAAAAGAAGCTAATCTACAAATAGCACAGTCATAGTTATGCTAGTGATTCTCAAACTACTGCTACACTCAAATGATAGTCCACTGAAAATGTATCCTGCTTTAATTGGACTGTAATGAATCAGTTGATTTGAAAAGAATGAATCCTAATATCCCCTCCCCCAATAATTTATTGCACTGGAATGCTTTTGCCTATAACAAACAATAATAAAATGGCCAAACAAGAGATGGGATTGAGCTTGGAGTGTCACTATACTACTAATCAAACCCAACCACAGCAATTTATGTATTTCACCTTGTGTCCAACAGGATTTTGGTCAATATATCCATAAGATTACAGACGGAAGGGAAGACTTCTCTTTGATAACAATAATTTATCCTACAGCACAACTGACTGAAGTATAGCATTTCTACCATCACTGGCATAAATAAATAGGGCTGCCTCATTTGTAATATGTACAGTCCAAGCATCACATTACTTATATTTATATCTACTATATATACAGCTTATTTTCTAACTGCAACAATTCTTAAAAAAATGAGTTTACCAATGTCCTATAAGAAATTTAAGAAACAGAATACTTTTTTAAAAAGAAGAAAATATTAATTGGATGAAGTATACACACCTATTTTCTATGGTTGTTTTTCTATGGTTAGGAGCACTGTGGGGGATACTAAAACACAGTACATTATGCTGTGTGTGTGTGGGTTCTCTTTACAGCAGACTTGTATTTAACACCTTGCTGAAGCCACAAATGGCAAGAACTTCTATGCAGGTGAATAACTGGACTGGCAAAAGAGAGACTACTATCTCTGTTTTTCCTTCACCAGCATCTGCATTGGCTATGGCAGAAACTATCTGTAGTTTGGCATCATCCCCTCCAGTCACTGACTTAGTTGGTAAGCAGTAATTTTTTAATAAATTTTGATTGCAAACTGCCTAGAATAGTGCCTGGCTCTAAGTCAGGTGGCATATAGTCAATTGAAAATGAAATGAAATGAAATGAAATACACCTATCATGCTGTTTCTGGAGAAGGGAGTGTTCATGGTGAAGAACGAAATCTATGGCATTTGCCTCACACAGGTTAAACAAATAAACGTGAACAGACTGCTGATTTTCTTGAGCCACCTTGCCTCCACCTTCCACAAGACAGCTGAACCCTTGCCAGCTAAAAAAGGATTTTTTTAAAAAAGTCCAGCATCTAGAATCTAGTTGAAGGATAAGCACCCTGTCGCCTTCTAGTTGCTCGACTGCAACTCCCATCAGGGCTGGTCAGCAGAGTCCATGGTGAGGGATAGCATCAAGTGCAGTCCGAAAATACCCGAGGGGACAGCAAGTTGCCTGCCCGCCTCCTAAAGGGAAATGAATCTGAGGCCGTGGGGGGGGGGAGATTTTGGCAAATTACAAGGCACAGCAGAAGTTACTCCTATGAGCAACGGCGGCTGCTCCCTCCAGGAACTACCCAGAAGGCAGACACCCCCCCTCCCCTGAGCACGGAAGGGGCTGCGCGGCAGAGAACAGCCTCCACCCGGCGCCTCGGCCACCCAAAGAGGGCGAAGCGGAGAGAAGGCGCCCTCGGGAGCCGCTTCTAGGCTCGCTCGGGGACGGAGCCGGAAAGGCGGCGGAGGCAGCAAGACGTCACGTACCCGCCAAGGCTCTGGTGGCCGCCGTCGCCTGTCCCTCCGCGGCCTCCCGCAGCATCATGGCGGTAGTCGGGGAGCCCCGTTCACTGGGGCCGGGCGGCGGCGAGTTGTGTGTGGGGGGGAACTGGTCGGCTTGTCCTTTTTTCCCCTCTCGGCCCGGTTCCCTGGTCGCCAGGTGCCGGCGAACGAACCAGCAACTACTTCCGGGGCATTAGGTCACCGCCACTTCCCTTTTCGCCCTGCGGCTCACCTCCGAAGTAGAGAGAAAGGGCTTCTCTCTTCCTCCTCCTTCCCCCCCCGCCGCCAGCACAACCCTCGCGGGAGGGGCCCCCGCCGGCGTGGGAGACGCGGAAGGGTCGCTGCAGAAAGGCGGTTGGTCCCGCTTAGCTCCCGCGAGCCAACCGGGGCAGCCGCCGTCACAGAGACCACTGCTTTTTCTTTTATCATTTAATTTAAAATATTTTTTACCCCGCTTTTTTTCCTGAAGAAATGACTCAAGGCTCCTTGCCCACATCACTGAAAGGCAATATTTAAAGCTGAAAGCAAGGAGTGAACCAGGGTGGTCTAAATATGTATTTAAAGCTAAGAACAATGAATGTAAGGAAGCAGCTTGCATCATTAAAATATTAAAACAATAGTACTTGTTTTCAAACAAGTTTGATGGTGTTGGTTTGGAAAAAAGCTCTTGATTTTTTAATTAAAAAATCTATTAGGAATAGTAGGACCCTGATATACAGTATTTAGTTACATTTGCTTTTACCAGAGCTTGGGGCCTGGGTTATTTTTGCAGAATTCCCCTAACCAGCCGAGGAATTCTGGATGTTGTACAAACGAGTAACGTTTCCAAACTCTGAAACGTCCTGGCCTCAACAGTCCTGCGGGTAAACGCAATAAGAGGCCTACGGATTACACAACGTTTTGGTATCACCGTAGTCGGAAACAACGTCGCACAATAGTTAATTGTGAGTGTAATCGCGCAAAGTGCTTGCTTGGCCGCCAGGCACGGCAGCTCTTGTCGCCAGATTTCTTCTCAGACGGAGGAGGTGACAATACACGAAAAGTTAGGCTGTTTTTAATGCTACACAAGATTCCTCGCTGGCTTTTCCTGCGAGAGGCAGGCGCGCCCACCGCTGGGTAACGTTTCTGGCTGGAATTCCGAGCCGAGGAAACCGAGGAGTGGCCCGTTTACTATTCGTTGGACTCTAACCGGGAGTGCTGGACTCACGGTGGCTTTCAATTTACAACCGAGACGGCCCAGGCCAACCTCTTTTCTCCCTCACCCCCTCCATGGGGATCATAGAGTTGGCCCTTTCCGCTTTTCTCTCCCTCCCACGTGACCTTTCTTTGGCCGCCCGGGAAGCTTCGTGCGTCATTTCCCCCTTTCTGTCACGGAAGGAAGCGATTGTAAGGTGCTGCGTAATGGGAACGTTTGCGCATGCGTAGTGGCCTGTGTCTCCTCCGGAGAACTGTGTGCAGTATTATTTGAGCATCCCGAAGAGCCGCCGCGATGCCGGATTATCTGGGCGCAGATCAGCGCAAAACGAAAGAGGAGGAGAAGGAAGATAAGCCGATCCGCGGTGAGCGTTTGACTCAGGGCACCATGAGATAATCAAGGGCCGCCCCTCGGGGGGACAGCAGAGTATTCTAGGTTCCCCCCCCCTTTGAGATATCAGTGCGCATGCTCCGTATGTGGACTTCGTGGTGTTCTTTCCTCTCTTTCCTGGTTCCTGGCTTTCTCATTCCCATTTAGTCCTTGCGGGAAGTGGCAACCCAGCCTCTGGCATGTCTTGCCAGAAACGTTTTGAAGGTTCAGGTTGCCGTATCTGGGCTTCTGGCTGGGATAAGCCTGGATTTGCTCCCTCCCTAGGTTCACCTATAACTACAGTTAACGACAACAATAATCATGTGGCACCACATTTCATGCAAATACATAGCAATTCTTTGCTGTGGGCCTTAAGTCGGACACGACTGGGCTGAAAATGTCAAGGGGAACCTATAGCAATTCTTTGCTGTGGGCCTCATCCAGCTAAGGTGCTGCATTGAGCTCCCAGAAGCTCCTCATCAAGCCCCCACCTTGCATAATAGACCTGGCAAAGGTTTCTACCCAATGACAGCTGGTGAAGACAGAATAGGGAAGCCTATTTCAGCCTGGAGGGTACTTTCATTTCTGTTTAAATTTAGGAAACCCTCACGCCAGATGTGGCTATAGAGAGAGGCAAAGTAAAGGCTTCTTTCTCAATGAGCCAACAGTTTTCTGGTATGGGTGGTGAAGAGGCGAATCAAGACGTATCGGTGCAGTTTGAAACATCACATTAAATAAGGCATGGAGCAAAGGTTTGTTTAGCTCCTCTCGCTGCAAGTGGGAACAGTTGGGCAATGTGCTCGGGCTCTTCTATGACAATCTGGGATTCCTGAAGATTTAGAATTCTTCAAAATTCAATCCTGTTAAGCAAATGCTTGGGAAACCTATTTAGAGTATGAGTTTATCAGTGTTTGCTATTTCCCATCCAAGGTGGGGCAGCTTTTCAGTTATAACCTTAATTTAAGATGCAGAATGACATGAAATTCATGAGATTTCCCCCTTGAAACAAAGGAATGGTTCTTTTCTCAAACATGAGTATTAGTGTGTGAACTACAGAGCGTAATTTTAAACAAATGATATTTCTTCATGTATTATTAGAGGGTGTTTTGATGTGCTTGTAGCTGTGTTTGCTTCTATATGAGTTTCCCAGAGTTTGATGGTACTTCTTTTAGAGGTTAGGGTTGTAACTGTGTTATATTAATGGTATCTCACTGTGAGACCCAAAACAAACAAAGGTAGTGGCATCTTGATGTTACCTGTTGGGAAGTAGTGCAAAATATATTTGCTTTGCTCAGATGGTCTATGTTATGTCTCTTTCAGCTTTGGATGAAGGTGACATTGCCTTATTGAAAACCTACGTAAGTACCTCATGTAATTATACCTTGTGGCAAAGCTTCAGAACTCATTACATCAGAACAGAAGGGAAACAGATACATTAATCAAGTTGATGTGTCCAGGGAGGATACTTAGTGATGCCTTTAAATTTAGGGGCATTTATTTAGGCAACAAACACTGTGAACCTGGCAGGATTCCATTATCAGTAAATATACATGGAGGGTGTGTTGCAGAGTTCAATGCTGTAGTGGAAAGACTTTGTTTTAGCTAAAATGACAGAATGTCAAAACAAATTCTATCTTGAAAGATGCAAACCAAAGACCTAAGTATATGGATTCTGAACTGTTTCATAAAAAGATGAAGCATTTGCAGTTTGCTGGGGCATGTTGCTTTTAAAATAAATTTATGTTTTATTTCCAAAGCAAAGAGCTAGGAAAGGCTTCAGATGTCATAAACAAATATGAACATGTAATGCATCAGTTGCTTCTCCCAACAAATTGAGTCTCTAAGTTGTCCAAATGATCGCATGTTCTCTTTTCTAGTAAATCATATCAGATATCTTGCAGATGTTGCAGCTGAGTCATAGAATATACATTTACCTTATACAGTGGTGCCTCGCTTAACGGGTGCCCCGTTTAACGACAAAATCGCATAGCGATGAAGATTTCGCGATGGTCTGAATACGGTCTGAATGGGTTTTTTCTCTTTGTGATGATCGGTTCCCTGTTTCGCTTACCGATTATCGCAAAGCGATGATTTTCCCCCAGCTGATTGGTGGTTCCAAAATGGCCACTGGGTTAAAAAAATGGCCGCCCGCTGTGTTTATGGACGGATTACTTGCTTACCGGGCAGTGAAAATGGCCGCCGTATGGAGTATCTTCGCTTAAAGGTCAGTTTTAAGCCCATAGGAACACATTGAAGGGGTTTCAATGCACTCCTGTGGGCTTTTTAAAATCACATAGCGACGAAATCGCTTAGCAGCGATTTTTGCTGCACCAATTAATGTCGCTATGCGAGGCACCACTGTATATAGAACATGCTGGGTACTGTCCCTGGCATCAACTGCCAACACAGCCTGGAAAGAGCTTTTATCAGATACACTGCAGAACTCCAGTAGGCAGTATCAGGATAGATTGATCAATGTAAAGGTCATATATTCAGAGGGCTAGATCACAGTGTTTAATGTTCTGTTAACATGCCCAGTTTTTTTCTTTTGTTTCCTCAATCATGTAATCTTTTTCAAACAGGGCCAGAGCACATACTCAAGGCAGATCAAGCAAGTAGAAGATGACATTCAGCAGTTACTTAAAAAAATCAATGAACTCACAGGTATGTAATTCTTGTTTCTGTTGGAAGCATGTGCCTTTCACCTACAGATTTTTATTTGGCTTTTCATGTTTTTTAAAAGAGAATAAGTCAGGGTTCTTACATAGAATGGATTTAAATCATGATTTAAATTGTAAAAAATCAGAATTTTTTGATGATTTAAAATTTAAAAATATTTTTTAAATTTAAGTTGTGAATTAAATTGTGATTTAAATCAATTTTATTTTTTTTTAAAAACAGTGATTTTTGTCCACTCTGCCTGTAGTTTATTACTGCTTATTCCCAAATAAAGTTGAAAAGATGAGCTGTCTCTGAAATATAAAACATTGGATCTGAAAGGAGAAAACACTTCTTAATGAGAGGGAAAAAAGCAATGCTAAGGGTATGGACAATGTTAGCTATGAAGAGACATAGTCGTTGCAATGTTGCAGTTGCTTTTAGCTGTGTGGAAATAGCAAGTGTTTACTTGAAAAACACAGTTGTTCAGAGCAACTGTTGGTTGGAAGTTCCCAGATTCCATTTGATTAACTGTCTCACTACAGAATTTTGATGGATAAAGTTAGTGTCTTTGACTCAAGAGTTTTATAATGTTGTTGAAGTTCATTTGCTTCCTAGGAAGGGCTCAGAATAAGTATGTTTATTGAACAGAGGATTGTCCTACTTCTGCATGCTTTTGCCTAACATGTTTTTTCCTCTGTATGGCTTGCAAATCTGTCAACTGTTAATGCTGTGTTCACATAGGTGGCAGAATGACTTTTCCTATTTGTTGATGTCTTGCTTTGGTAGCTGCTCTTGTATATCTCTGTGTGTAAGTGCCACAGTTTGGAAAACATACAGTGGCCCTGTTGGCTGGGGGGGTTCTAAGAATCATAGTCCAAAAAAGTAATCTTTTGAAATGTTTATCTCTACCCCTGTAGGTATTAAAGAGTCAGACACTGGTTTGGCTCCACCTGCCCTCTGGGATCTGGCTGCAGATAAACAAACGCTTCAAAGTGAGCAACCCCTACAGGTGGCAAGGTATGCTCACTTTTTTCCCTGGTTGATCAATATTCACTATATTCATAGTTGATCCATGTTTGGGTCCTTTCCAATATCACATTTAGCATTGTATTACTATATGTTCCTTGATCCTCCAGGATCCTTGGAGCAACTTACATACTACATAAAACTTATTATGGGTTTGACCCCATCATGGTTGTGTTCACTGGACACTTACGTGTTTCATCAGTCTAATGATACATATCTTAAAACCCATGCATTTGAGATCTGTTGTGGTGGTGTGAAATTGTGAAGTGTTTTTAGATGGATAAGCTGTCTCTTCAGTTGATACTGATATTTTAGATTTCCTGAAGGGAAAACAACATACGGTAGAAGAGGGAGTTCAGAGTTACAGGCAATTGCTCAAGAACAGCAGTAATTTAGTGTCATTGCATACATTCTTAAAGAAAATTGGACCATGAATGAGTGCTATGTTAAACCTTTTTTGTTTGCAAATGCTTGTCTAACTTCTTATTCATCTGGATAGATGCACAAAGATAATCAATGCAGATTCGGAAGATCCCAAGTATATTATCAATGTTAAGCAGTTTGCCAAATTTGTGGTGGACCTGAGTGACCAAGTGGCACCAACTGACATTGAAGAAGGGATGCGAGTCGGGTGAGTTGATATTCACACTTTAGTGACCTTAGATTTTCGAACAGTGTCTGAAGCTAGAGATGGTGGCATTGTGTGTGAGTGTGAGAGACGGGGAGGAGGGTGTGTGTAAACACGAGAGAGAGAGCGCATTTAATAAGCCACAAACACACACACATGAGAGAGTGCCTTGAATAAGCTAAGGTAAACAACAGAATCTACCAGTGGAAAAAGAAATAAATGCATTAGAGGAGGACAGTCTGAGCAAGCCTTCCCTTGGATGGAATTCTGGAGTCAATGCTCTGACCAAAAAGGCCTGGTCCTTCCTTTCCAGCGAAAGGGAGACCTCCATTTTGTAGTTGAGGGCTAGGCTAATGCAGAAGGAGGCAGTTCCTCACATATGCTGGTCCTGCGCTTTGGGTTTTATAGGTCATAACCAGCACTTTTTTTGGTCTGGAAACAAATTGGAACCCAATAGAAATCAGGTGTAATTGTTGGACAAGAAAGCTCACTGAGTAGTTTTTGACAGCCCAAGGAAGCAGAAGCACACAGTATGTGGCATAACAGATCTTGTCACTCTTAAAACAGAATGCAAAATATTACGATTAAACATACAAAGCAAATATTGGGATTTTTTGTAGACTATAATGATTGTAGAAAGCCACTCAGATAAAATTATTTATACTGAACACTTTAGACTACTTGTCATTTCGCAAACACACTCTAATGTAATCCTGGAGTCTAGATTGTAAAATAGTTGTAATCCAGGGGGTGGCCCTGTATCTAGCATCCAGTGGGAAAGCTTAATTGTAGATAAATGTATCGTAAAACTGGAGTTTGGCCTTGTTTTCATTTAGAAAAAATAACCCCTGCTGTTCATTTTGGGACTAAGTGCAATTGTGGGTCGCCATAGTTTAAAATGTCTAGTAAAATCTTCAGACCTCCTCCTTCTTGTACCCTGATGAAGAATTTACATATTTTGTGAATGTATAATTGATCTTAACTCTTGGTTTTGGACTTCCTTTTGGAGTACTACTTGGTGGTTGTAAAATGCCTTGTTTCCAGAATGATATAAAGAAGGGAAAGCTAACACCTACACAAGAACTGAAATTAATTATAATGGGGCAGGAAGCCAGGTATCCCCATGGAGTGTGTGTGAAACTGGACAGTGTCCCATTCCAAATCTCTTCCTTCAGCTTGTTCTGTGTTGTCAGCATGACACTATATTCCAACATGCAGATGCAAATGGTTTGTGTTTATAAAATGCAACTAAAATAATGATGTAGAGAGTTATTTCTTTGATCAAAGGAATGCTTTTTGAGGGGCATATTATTAAATTGGTTTGATTTGTCAACATCTTTCTGCAGAGTTGATAGGAACAAGTACCAGATCCATATCCCTCTGCCTCCAAAGATTGACCCAACTGTTACCATGATGCAGGTGAGGCTCTCACTATCTTTCTTTACATTTTAATCTTTCTAATTAGTCTTCCTCACTGCTGCTTCTTAAACTTCTTCCATGACACTGTAACACTTAAAATTGCAAATAACAAAGGTGTGCACTTAACCTGTTCCATACTCCAGGTGGAGGAGAAACCTGATGTCACTTACAGCGATGTTGGAGGTTGCAAAGAGCAGATTGAGAAGCTCAGAGAAGTGGTAGAAACACCCTTGCTTCATGTAAGTGTTGTATAAATAGTGAGCTTGATGTGGATATTGTGTTATGGTTTGTCAAGGCAGATACTGTACTCCAAGAACCTGATTTCCCCCTCCCCCCCATAGTCATAATATTGTTGAATATATTTTCAACTTACTAAGACTGAAGGCGGTGTATTGATTATTTTATGAGGAACTTTTGAGTTTCTTCCTTTTGTCAGAATGATCTTCATGACCTTCATAATACAGCATTTTTTTCTGACCACAGCCTGGGTGAGGAACATTTGTCCCTCCAAAGTCTTTGAACTGCTATGTGAACGTTCTTTACCATTGGCTATGCAGGCGGGGTCTTATAGGGGTCAGGATTCAAAATATCTGGCAGACCATCCCAACTCTACGAGCTGCCAAACAGGCCATTACTACTGTGGCCTTCTGCTGTTGTTTATCCTTTTAGAGTTTGGTCTCCATGATATCATCTTGTAACTTATGTTGACCAGCGCCTGCTGAAGGGTCAGGAAAATTTTGATTCTACATTTGACTGGCTGGCTGGCTGGCTTCCATTGGCTAAGAGCCACGAGCAAGGTGGAGCGTTGGTGACCAATTTCAGTTTTGACATCTGCCTCTTGTCTGTTTTGATGTCCATCTGATATCCTTATGCCAAAAGCCTTTTTTCCTCACCCTTTGGTTCCTACTTTTTGTGAGGCTGCTTCTGAAATAAGGCCGGGGCAAGGAGTAGTAACACCAGCACAGGGCTGGCCTCCACTGGCAGCAGTCTTCCCCCTTCCTCCAAGAGGCCAGAAGGGAATGTTTGAGTACTTAAGGCAGGGATGGGGAGCAGTGGAGGCAACTGTTTTATGACTTCCTCTATTTTGCCTGCAGTGCTGAAGCTTCAGTAATTTCCTCTTGGCTTTGGACCAGTTTGCTTGTTACCACTTTATTACAATACATTCTTTCTGGCCTGGCTTCTGTCATCCTCTGGGTTTGTATGCTACTTTTATTTAAAATGGAAAAATGTCCTTGTAGCACACAAAACCACTAGGCACTGCTAGGCACTGATTTCTTGAGCATTTTCCTGCAAGGCCCTTGCAGGACCCAGTGTTGGAGTGAAGGCAGACAGTTGCCACACTTTTAATTTCTGCTTATAAACCTTCTGAAATAATTTTTCTCCCTTCCCACCACAGCCGGAGCGCTTTGTCAATCTTGGGATAGAACCTCCCAAAGGAGTACTTCTCTTTGGTCCTCCTGGGACAGGGAAAACCCTCTGTGCTCGCGCTGTTGCTAACAGGACTGATGCTTGCTTCATCCGAGTAATTGGATCTGAGCTGGTGCAGAAATATGTGGGAGAGGTAATGAATGAACATATGGCACACTTAATGCTTCTGTATTAGAAAAGAGCAAGAATTTTCATGGCCCCGGGTGGTAAGAACTGTTTCCAAATACCTGATGTTTTCATTGTTGCTTTTATGTGGAAGTCTTACTCTACAAATTGCATGCTTTGTGTGTAGCTTCTTTTAATAGCTCTTTGATGCAAGACTAACTGTTGTACACTATGACTGAAACATGGACTCGAGTACCTATTTCTTCAGGTGACTCCCATGTGCCCAGCATTTGTGGATAGTTACATTCATTATGTACCTACATTATGTAGGTTGGCCATGAGAGATTTTTTGATCTGCACTATCCCCTTTTTGCATGGATTTGTAGTGGTCAAACCTAATAATATGTGAAAGAGCTGAAGTGATTTCACGTGACTATGTATTTGTGGCCCTGCTGATCTCTTGGCTCTACTAGTCATTGGGAAGCTTCAATAATAGCTTTTAAAAAGTAAGTCAAATGGCAGTTGGCTTGTTTGAAACAAAACTTGATCCTTCCTGTTTTTTTTTTTTTAAATAGGGTGCTCGAATGGTTCGGGAACTCTTTGAAATGGCCAGGACAAAGAAAGCTTGCCTGATCTTTTTTGATGAAATCGATGCTATTGGAGGTTGGTATTAGCATGCATGTACTTCTTTTTTTCAGTACTTTGCAAAGGGACAGGGAAGCAGTGTCATCCTTGATCCATTATTAGCAATAGAAGGAAAGTAGTTCACTTTTTGTAATATCACAGCTTTCTTGTAAATGTTTATTTTCCTTCTTCAAAATTCAGTATCTTGAATTAGTTTGATACCTTTAGCTACAATTATGGCTGGAGAAGTAGTTATAATGACATCTTCCAGGTGATCTTTCCTGTCTGAGGCAGAATCAACAAGTTATCTCAGGCTTTCTTCCCGTTCTCTCTTTCTAGGAGCTCGCTTTGATGATGGAGCTGGAGGAGACAATGAGGTCCAGCGTACTATGTTGGAATTGATCAATCAGCTTGATGGTTTTGATCCACGAGGCAATATTAAGGTCCTGATGGCAACTAACAGACCTGATACTCTGGACCCTGCATTGATGAGGCCTGGAAGACTGGATAGGAAGATTGAGTTTAGTCTACCAGATCTGGAGGTTAGAATTGTTTTGATACCAGACAAAGTCAATAATAGCACCTTTATTAAAACTAATAATATATAATGGTTGAAATCCTGTTGCTTAGCATAGTAAGTCACAAATAGAGTATGTCCATTAAATCAGTGGGATTTGGTGTGTCAGCTCTTCTGTAGGCCTACCCTAGTTGTATACTAAGCAACAGGATTTCCGCTGATATGTTCCTATTTTTCGGTGGCTCTGAGTCTGGTGACAAATACCAGTGTTAGCTAAACAAGTAGATAAAAATTCCTGTAAAGCTTGAATTGAACATATGTATTGAGATGCAAGTTTTTATGGGGGTAGAATTAATTTCATTAGCCATTCAATCCGATGAAGTATTAGATGGGAATTTTGCAATTAAAAACTCATTTATGAGCCACTTTCTGAACGTCATTATTAAGAGTCATCATGATAAAAAGCTGCCTCAAGTGAGTATGCTGACCAAACTATGACTTGTCTTATCAATGTGAGACCATGTTAACCTAGCCAGAGGAAGAGTTTGTCACAGTTCTTCCCCTCCCTGCTGAATGGGGTTGTTGGCTGTTATCCTTCTTCCTTTCCTGTTAGCTGAAACATAAGGTGACTAGGCTATAAAGGTCCTTCTTTGTCTGGTTAGACTTTAACCCCTTTGTGGAGAGGAGAAGCATCTTTGCTGCATGTCTGCTTCCTTCCCTGAAAAGAGAAAACGCAGCTGGACTGTATGAGTCATCCACCATATTAGAGCATGAGTAGGCTATTACAGCCAGATAGACCTTTTCTGTCACATAAATGGTTTGGTTTCTTCCTTAGCATTACTGTACTTCTGATTGGTGGGATATGATTAGAGAAGACACCCCCAATTAAGGCAAATGACATGAACAGTGGGCCCCCAAAATTTCTACAGTTACTGTGTTTGTTTCGAAGATGACACACAATCTTCTCTGAACTTTGCTTTACTCAGCGGGACTATAGTGTACTCTTGTAGGAAAATACACTGTACCAATGGAAGAGGTGGCTGTATTTGTCTTGGCAGCAAAGCAACAGTCTTTCGGTACCTATTTGGACGAAGTTTTTTGTAGACTCTTGTCCATCTCTTTGGATGTGGTAGTTTATTTCACAGCAGGTTTGGGCAAGGCAGTCTCTCTTCACACACCCCTTCCGATAATCACTTGTCCAGACATAATTTCATTTGTTGAGAAGTAGCTTCAACCTACTGGCACAGTGTGCCTTCTTTCTGTGCAGTGGCAGGAAGGCATGTCCACAGAAATGAGACACGAAGCAATGATTAAGGCTCCTATCTGCTTTGTGCCATTGCCACAAGTAGCCAAGTGGTGGAGGCAGCAAAGCAGTGTGGCTGTGGACTGGTGCTGGGAACTCAATAGCATCTGGAGGAATACTGATTTTTGATGCTGCTCCTTACTGTCGAAATCTGTGGTGGCTGAGCAAGCAGCTGATCTCTAATTTCATCACTTACACATTTTAAAGACAACCTCTCATAATTCTCTGATTCTCTTTTTAGGGAAGAACTCACATTTTCAAAATACATGCCCGTTCAATGAGTGTTGAGAGAGACATACGATTTGAATTGCTGGCTCGACTTTGTCCTAACAGCACTGGTAAGTAAATCTGAGACCTCTTGCCTGTTTGGCTCCCTTGTCCTTGTGTTGGGACGACAATTGCTTCGGATGGCTTTCAAATACATTATTTTTCCTTACAGGTGCTGAAATTCGAAGTGTGTGTACAGAGGCAGGTATGTTTGCCATTAGAGCAAGGCGAAAAATTGCCACCGAAAAGGACTTCCTGGAAGCTGTGAATAAAGTCATCAAGTCCTATGCAAAGTTCAGTGCGACTCCTCGATACATGACGTACAACTGAACCTGGACATCACAGAGTCTCTTCACCTTACGATAAACCTTGTGTTAAGTAGTAGCCAGAGTAATAGTTTGTTTGTGTGATATACACTGGCTGGACAAGTTTAGAAATAAATGGAACATTCCAACTTACATTGTGATATTTGTGTGTTCAGCTTTATTATATCCAACAGGTGATGGTGAATTTAGTCTGATTATTTGTGAATTTATACTATTTGCTGGCCTTCCATGAATACTTCTGACATTAAATGCATTTTTTTATCTTTTTGAAACCTCCATCTTATAAGCTGTGCACGCTACACAACTTTGAGAGTAAAATCATGAAGTTCCAGACCTCAGATACAGCAACAGCTGCTGAACATAACTGTTCCCTCTATTAGACTGATAGCTAGTATTGATCACCTAGGGTTGGGTTGAGGAGCCAACATTGTCAGGCCTCACAATTTTAGCCACATTGTACATGAGTTGTGGAAATGCCTAGTATCTTCCTCTTAGTAAGGATTCCCCCCCCCCCGGTATTGCAGAGGTCCACATCAGAAGTCAGTTGCTTTCTGTGGATCAGGGCACAAGTGTTAAAGGGCATTATAGGGCTCGTTGGAGTTGTCATTTTACAGGATGATGCCTGCTCCTGGAGAAATATTAAGAGTCGAGAAAGAAGGAAAAAAGCACTTTGTATGTTTTATGTGACTGTTACCCCACGGCCCCTGCTTGTTTCACCAAACCCAAAGCTCATGAAGGGATCCCAACACGCCCTTTAACACGCTGCCACCAGTTTATCTCTTTATCAACCTATATTTCCTATGAAAGATGGGGGTCCATTCAGTACTGAACTTTTAAACAGAAACAGATTTATTGATTATAAAAGTTGTTTTAGGACTAGTTCTTAAGCACATTCTTAGTTACACAAAGCTTCAGTATTTTATTTTAGCCTCTTCTATCTTAATACAGGTCACACTTTGACTAATCACTCCTTAAACACTCTCTGCTTCAAACTCCCAAACTCTTTCTCTCTTCTCTGTCTCTCTGACTGAATTATCTAGACTCTGCCTCACCCCTCCCTTCTAGTTTCTCTGGCTCCGCCTCCCAACAACTCTCATTGGTACATGCCAATAATCATCTACCTGAGCCAAAGCAGGGTGATCGCTACAGGCATTATAAGGGCTAGTTGGACTTGTGATTTTACAGGATCATGCCTGTTTCTGAGAAATAATAAGAGACAAGGAGGAAGAAGGAAAAAAAAGCACTTTGTGTGTTTAAAGCAATGTGCTGCTTGTAATTATATGCTGAATGCAAGTTGGGACGAATGTAGGTTATCCGACAAATCTATCATAAAATATTGAAATTGAGAAAAAATGACAGCTGAAGCTCTGACAAAATGTCAAAGCACAAAATATTTCCACATGGTCCAGAGTTTGTTTTTCCTTGGATTTAATGGTGGGTTTGACAAACTTAGTCAGCACCAGCAATAGTACATGTTTGATTTGTTTTGATGGCTAGGAGCAGTTCTCACATATGTCTTTGGGGACATGGTTAAGTAGTTTCTCAGCATGAGCCAAGAATTGACTTAGTTGGACAATTACTAGTTTTGGCTAGCCTTTTTATCCTTATGTGCCCTGGCTTCCTTCTAGTCTGTACTATTCAGTTACTCCACATATAAAGTTGTCCATTTTATCCTTCTATGCCACTGAATTATCATTCTTGTATTTTAAAACTGTTCCTTAGTGGTTTTTCTTTTCCCCTTAAGATTTTTTTCCATTCCATTGGAACACTTCAAGTTACTGTGAACTCACTGATTCCTCCTTTATACATGTAGGCTGAGCCACATTTGGCATAATTCTTTTGACTCAACTGCTTTTATGTAACATTGTAAAGAAGTTTCTTAAAGTTTACAGATGTGTTACCCTGCCTATATTCTTAAGACTTTTATTAACACTCACCTTTATTTTGTTATTTTTCAAAAGCGTGAAATCAGTTTGTATTTCCTGAAGTAAAACAGAAATGACTACTTTTGTGCCCTAAGAAAATGCTTAGCTTCTTTTGTTCTGATGATACTGGCTAGGAAACCAGTGTGTTTATTAAAGAATAGATATTTTCAAATCACTTTGATTTGTGAAATTGACACTTCTGTGCTGATACTGTCGTTACTCGTTTAATAGATTTTATCTGCACCATTCCAACCATGAAAACACATTTAATCCCTGTAATTTTAGACGGCAGCATTTGTATACATGGTGCCTTTTCAGTGCAAAGTCTTGACAGATTTCTGTGCTGAAAAACTTAGAAGTGTGAAAAAAATGTGCAACTTGTTGGCAAGTCAAGTGTTAAACAGGATTATGTCCTAGTGGAGAACTTTTATGTTAAGAATTTGTAAGGAGGTGTATTGCAGGCTTAGGAAAGTGTTTATTGCATACCTAGGCCAGTAGAGACAGCCAAAAGACAGCCTCCAAAGATAGTACGTAACTACAGTATATAGAAAACACACAAAGGGCCTTAAAATGAGTAATTTAAATTGGTATTCCTTTGAACGTCTTTTTCCATTCCTTTTCTCAGGAAGTTCCTTTTCATGTTCCTTCAGAAAGGAGCCTGAGTATTTTATTTTTTTTATCATATGCTTGGGGAAGGTGAGTCTCTCTGCACTTCTCAGACAATGGCTGTCTTCCAATGATTCACTGAGAGACACTATATACTGGAGATTGTTATACATACAAATTCATTGCCTATCTTTATATAATTGCTAAATACTAATGTATATGGTTAGATTTCAAAGTTGCAATGAGGGCGATATCCACATCCCTACCCACATTAGCAAAACTTACCCTTTAGTTGTAAATTTGAGTTGTGGGGTTGTTGAGAACAGTGTGTTAGCAATCAAAAGATGAAAGGAGAAAATATCAAGATGACAGATGGCACCATCACAAGAATTCAGGATATAACTTCACAATGGCTTTTTATTTTGGATCTTTACATTATTGGCAGTTCTGGAAAGAAACATTTGCCTATAAAAAGCAACAAGGGTTATGCTTTAAGCAGGAAGTAAGCAAAATATATTGTACGTGGACATAAAGAGGACAGCCGAAATTCAAGTTACAAAAGGTATCAAAATATCACCTGTGTGAACACACTCTATTCTGGGTAAATCCAGAAATTTGTGTCTCTTGCAAAACTTCAGTATTCTCAAAAATGAAATGAGAAACAGGAGGGTGGAGAGAGGAATACTTCTACTTTGTCCTTTTCTGCAACAGAGCAAAGCTGCATCCATAGAAATAAAACATGAACTGAATGATGAAATTTCTCTTGTGATCAAAGGCCAGAGTGAAAGCCAGGAATATGAAGGAGCCCTCATACTGAAAGCTTTGTTTTGTTTTTAAAGTGTATACACAATTCGATCAATCTTTTTGGTATTTCTGAGTTTGTTAGCTGCAAGCCAGCATTACGTATTCTTGAACATTGCACAAGATGGGAGGAAGATTTTTTTAAAAAAAAAATACTAGGTACTGATATCCTACTGATTTCAGCTAGAAAACTACGACCACATGCCTACCGTAGCTATGCCACTAAATACAGATACTTCATTTTAACAAGTTCATTTATGTTCATAGCTCATAAGGCTGCAGTCTTGCAAAAACATACCTAAGAGTAAGCACTCCTGAACAAGCTGGTATGTGCTGCCAATTCTGAAGGCATTGGATTGCACTGGCTGTGCAACTCTGTTCTAGTTAATGGAATGAAATTTGCTTTGAAGCTAGTTGCCTTAGGGGTAAAGTACAAGTAATTGCTTCTTTGCCATTTCCACATAATATTTGGTAATCAGTATGCACAGAAGGTAGCTTTATGCTATTTCAGTGATATATTTGTTGATTTCTGAGAACAAGATTAAATGACTCTGTAAAATTAATTTTTCAAAATGCAGGAAAGACAACAAACAAAACCAGTGATCTTTCTCTGCATGTTCACAGAGTTACAGCCAGTTGGAGTTTAGAATGTGCACAGGTCCCGATTCAACTAGCCTGGCTACTCTATTGGTTCCTTTTGCCCACTTCCAGCTGACTAGAAGTCCACTTGGTAAGTGCAACATTGCTCTTACGATACACGTAGCAACTTTTTTTATGGGAAAATTATCTATTACAGTTGTTTAGTAAATATTAGTTCTTAGACAAAAGAGCTCATAATTATGGTCATATAGAAAACCTACAAAATGGTGCTTTCATGCTTTTCTAAGTAGTCATGCGATAGAAACCGCGGATGTCTGCACAGCAGATCTTTAACTTAATTGAGCAACAAAAAGGTGTTCTTTCTGATTTCAGGAGCCACTATATAAAATCTCACAATGTATGAAATTCTTTGAGGACCATTGGTTAGGTGCTCTCCAAGTATGCTGGACTTCAGCTCCTCACATCCCCCAACCAGTCTGCCAAGGGATTCTGGGAGGCTGTTTTCTACACAGCTGAAGGGCACCAGGCCACAGAAGGTGGCTTTAAGATACTGGTATAGTGCATTCCCACAGCAGTTGTTGTCAGACTATCTGCCATTCCCAAAGAAGCATATGAAGTATAATCAAGAGAGGGTCAGGATCAATCTGGTAATACCTGGCTCAAAATGTCCTCTATTCTTTCCAGTAATGTACAATGCTATATATATATATATTTAAGAGAGTGCACTATCATCTGCTGGCACGTTTCTAAACAACAAAAAAGTAAAGTTCAAAATGTTCTTCGGTGCTTGCAAGAAAATACATACTGTTTCTGTTTTATACAAACACTAGCACACCAATCCAGGCTACATCCAAATTCCTTTAAAAAGCACACGCTCCAAAAACATTAAGGCCTCAAATTCCTCAGATATTGTTCGGCAGAAGGCAAGCTGTCTCACAATTGTTGTCACATACCCGTAAGAATGGCAAGTCTTAAGCTCTGTGTCATCTGTGCAAATGAAACTAAACAGGAGGAGCCCTTGGAAGTCAATGGATACATCCCCATAGAGTTTATTTAGACGGCATCTAAAGATGTGTGTAAGGCACGAGGGCCTTTCAATTGGCTGGTGAGTACAGCATCATGAACACTGGGGAAGAACAAGTCATTTAAGGATGCTTGGTCAAAGAAGTGTAGCTTAGTAAGGTTGTCCATAACAGATTCTGGGTGAGAAAGAAAAAGAAGAGCTTTGTCAGGGTACATAGCTGATAATCCAGAAACTTTAACTGCAAGGGCTTATACAGTGGTGCCTCGCATAGCGAACGCTTCGCTATGCGATGAATCCGCACAACGATGGGTCCCGGGCCATCGCTGGAGCGTTCGCTCAGCGATGGCCCCTATGGGCTTTTTTCGCTATGCGATGATCGCGCGGACGCGATCAAAGCATAGCGAACAGCTGATCGGCGGTTCCAAAATGGCCGCCGCTAAAACAAAATAGCGACCGCTGTTTTGCCTCGCTAACGAGGCATCCAAAATGGCCGCCGCAATGGAGCAAACTCGCAGAACGGTGAGTTTTAAGTCCATAGGAACGTATTAAATCAGTTTTAATACGTCCCTATGGACTTTTTTGTTTCACTTAACGATGGATTCGCTGAGCGAGGATTAATCCGGAACGGATTAACCTCACTAAGCGAGGCACCACTGTATTTTCTTGTCTGAATCTAAGGATTTTACAGACACTGAAGGTCACATCCACCCATGTATCCGAAGCATATAGATTTTGGTCACATTCAGAGCTTTCAGTAAAGGTGGTATCACTATTTTTACTTTACCAAACACAAGTTTCCCAGTGGATTGGTATGCCCAAGTCTGCCTTTCACACATACACTGTAGAGGCAGAACTACCTTCCCTAACTCATGTCCTTCAGATGACTGGACTTCATCACCCATGATTCTTCAATACTGGTCAGCTTAGCTGTGGCTGATGGGAAATGGAGTCCACCTGAATAAGACTGATCTAGAAAATTGCTCTTATGACAAAAATGGCAGATGTACAATGGCCAACCCATGCTTTCCCAACCCTTAAGACTTACCATTGCAGCCAGTTATATACACTGAAATACCAATTTCTTCATACTCTTTTATGATCTACAACAGTTAGAAATGAAATTGCAGTTAATGTTCCTGTATACAATAAATCTCTGCTATCAGAATACAAAGCACAAGTAAACATTGTTAGATGCCATGTTAAAGTTAAGCAGTCCTGCAGGAAACAGCAGGGCTCTACAAATAAATAAATAAAGGGAAAATATTGCACACAAATGCCTCAAGGAACACATCAAGCAGGAAGCTCCCTTGCACAAACCTTATGGAAAAATGTGAGCTACGTAGGAGACCTTCTTGTTATCTGAGGCCTATTAACCTTGTACCTACAAATAAGGAACATTGTCTTCTAGGGCTGCTTTAAATACCATCATACCAAAACAAATACCACATACCAAAACATTTCCCTACTCTGATCTTGCCCTACTCTCTGATCTTGCCCTACTCTGATCTTGCCCTACTCTGATCTTGTGGGCAAGATCAGAGTAGGGAAATGTTTTAGATTGAAACTCTCAGAACGCTCACTGCTTGGAGGATTCTGAGAACGGTAGTCCAAAAAAGTAATAATTCCAAGCTCCGTGCAAAAGGTACCAGTAGGGTGTGATATATAAGTACAAGAACAGGTACTACATACTGTTTTGAGGGCCTTTGCACCGACGGAATCCACGAAGTTCACAGGTGAGAAATCCAGAACAATTGAGTGAATAGTAGTCACTGGCTCCATAAAATGTTCAAGTTCATCAGGAGAAGAGTCCTGCATAGCTGCCTCTGCTGCTGAGAATTTCCCATTGAGGGACAATTCATCATTCATCACTTCATGTTTCACAGTATTTTCCATCTCATTAGTCTTTAACCAAGAATAGACAAATACAAGACTTAAGTGCATGCTCTTTTGTTTTGGGCAGGAGAATAGATTTTTACATATATTTTAGCCCAGCCTATGAAATGTCACTTTTTCTAAATCCACATGTGTTTTCCATAAAGGGAACATAGAAGGGTTGGTTGGTTCTGTGTAAATACTTACCCAGAGATTTTTCACATCAACATTTCCTCAACTGTGTGTAACAGGAGTGTAATTATCTGCTTTACTATCTAATCCTACGCATGTCTACTTAGGAGTTAGGTTTCAAGTGATTTCTAATGGCGTTTACTGCCAAGTATATGAGTATAGGATTGCAGCCTACTCCTCTCAACATCATTTTTGCTATTTGTGTCTGATTGATTATTTTGAGGTGGAAAAAAATCATCAATATCCATATAATCAAATGTAGATTTATGAATGGACCCTCCGTGTAGTAAAACATAGAAAATATTATTTATATTATTAATAAACTATGCTTATTATTTATAACTTGGGGGTGTGAAAACTTGTAATCTTTCTGCATAGGGTGATTTTCAAAATATCGTGACAACTATTCTACCTAGGGTCTTTTCCAGCTCTGCGGTTCAAAGGTTATTATTATTATCACCTCAAAAGGAGCTGTCTGAATTAGCCCCTAGATCAGTGGTTCTTAACCTTTGTTACTCAGATGCTTTTGCACTGCAACTCCCAGAAACCCGTCAGCACAGCTGCTGGTGAAGGCTTCTGGGAGTTGCAGTCCAAAACTCCTGAGTAACCCAAGGTTAAGAACCAGTGCCCTAGATTATTCTTATTCCAGAATAAACTTGTACAGAATGTACTTCCCCAACAACTGAAGCTAGTGTAGGATTCCAGGATTTGAATACTCTTTGTTTTCAAATGCTTTACTTGAACATACAAAACATCTTTTGAGAAAAGTGGCAGGAAGAAGGATAATAATAAACATACCTAGTACTGATAGAACAGTTCTTTTTTCCCCACTAGGGGGAAGTATCCTTAAGCAAACAAACTAAGAGTCAGCTTTGATATACAGTGGTGCCTTGCTAGACAATGTTAATACATTCCATTGAAATAGCTGTATTGTGAAAACATCATCTAGCGAAAAGTGTTTCCCCACTGGAATGCATTGAAACCCATTTAATGCATTCCAGTGGGGGGAAATAGTCGTCGTCCAGCAAAAATAGCCCATAGGGAAGCCATTTTGCGAAGTGCCGATCGGCTGTTTAAATCACTGTCTTGCGAAGCATTAGTCCCGAAAACACCTGTTTTGCGAAGATCGCCCACAGGGAAGCCATTTTGTGAAGCCGCCGATCAGCTGTAAAAATCGTTGTCTTGTGAAAAAACGGTCTGCAAAGCACAGACCAAATCAGCGAAATCCCCCATAGGAAAAACCGTTTTACGAATCGCTATAGCGATCGCAAAAAGTCAACGTCTAGCAAGAAAACCATTTTGCGGGGTAATCGTCTTGTGAGGTACGACTGTATATCTTGGGTCCCCAGATGTTCTTGGACTGCAACTCCTAGAAGCCCTTGTCAGCAGAGTTAGTGGTGAAGGCTTCTGGGAATTGCAGTCCAAGAACATCTGGGGACTCAAGATGGGGAACCACTACTCTAAAGGAAGGCTCTCTCCATATATTGCTGGTCGGTAATCCCCAATAATCTAACCAGTCTAGCAAGTGGTAACAGAGTCACAGTTCAACATCCGGAGACATGTACTTTGCCCACCCATGATCCAACGTATGTCTAGGATGTCACCCAAAATGGCTACAGATAACAGGAACTATGTCAAGTCAAAATGTTGATCATATCCTGTTTCTCTTTTTCAGAGAACAAAAAATTTTCTACCACACAAAACACAGATCTCTATTTTCATCTTTCAGTGATGTCTCTGAATATATCTAATATAGTCAGCCATAAAACCAGGAGTATCAGTGCCAGTTCCTTCAAACACTAGCTCATAGTACTGGAAGCTAGTCTCAGAAAAATAGGCCCCTCCTTCTTGTGAGAAGCTCCTGCCCAAGGCTGTTTACTGTTAACTGTTTGAAGCCCCTGTTTGATGGCTTGTTTGATTGCCCCACGTTGGGCGCCACATGTAGGTGATCATGGAGCAAAAGGAAAACTAATGATGGGGGTGATCACAGAACAATAGGAAGGCAATTGCAAAGAAGTTGACAAGTAGATGTCCGAGCCAGCAGAGTCACAAGGAGAACTCTATTTATTAACATAGCAAGGGTTACATCGTATGTTGTAAGAATTCAGATAGGATACTGGTTACCTAATCGCCACTACGATTGGCCGGAGAAAGCCTTTGAAGCTATGCCCTAACTCTAAGGAAAAAGGCACAATGAGTAGGTTACCTCGCCCGCTGGCAGCTGCTCCTTCTCTGCCAGGAGAGTTTGCTCATCACTGAAAACAGATAACAGCTAAGGGCCTTAGGCAGGAGCTTCCCACACATTCTATTGGTCTCCTGAATGAATCTCCCTTCTTTTTTCTCCCACTGGCCAAAGGAGACACTAATACTAATTTTAGCCTGGTTAATGCTAATCTGGGTTCTGTTTTAAACTGTTGCTTCAGATTTATTTTGGGTGGAAAACCTGATCAGCATGACACACATGTTTCTACTGGTGCAGCTGCAGTGAGGAAGAATTAATGTTTGAGAGGGGTGTACACACATTCTTAAGGCTAGTTCTCAATGTTTTAATCACATTTAAGCAGGAGCCAGAGTCTTACCATTTTTAAGACTGCTTTCTTTTTGTGCTCATGCAAGTGCTTCAATTCCTTGGCATGCTTTTTCTGTGCTTTCTTCCTTGCCGTCAATACTGTGCAAGGATCTATACCAGTCTATAACAGAAAGAAAGGCAAACTCAAAATCCTGCTGCTTAATGTAAGCCAAAGTGTAACTTTTGGTCAGTTCAACCCTGGTAAACAAATTGTCCCAGCCACAGTTCTCAGGGGCGCTTGCACAGGCCCCAAGAATCACAGAGGGGACACTTTGTTTACCAGGGAACAATGGGTCCAAAGTTATGATTTGGCTTCTGCTGAGTAATACGATTTCATTCATCTTGTAAAAGATGTTTTGGACTTGTCAAAGTTTTGGCTGTATTGAATGTGTTAACCTTTATGGTGATGCAGGACTCTTTCTCTGACTTATAAAAGTTCACTGCTCAACAATACTATATACATAAATTGCTAAATTGGAGAATTAATCAACTAACAAAGCATAATTTTAATGGAACGATAATTTAGGACAGAAAGGGGGAGGTATGGAGGTAGTAGGAAGTAGAGGTTTTGATTGATTAACAGAACCTATCATACCTAACCAAATTAAAATATGGAAGTTAAAGGAATATTGGATGTATAAATATCTTACATCAGTCTACCGCAATATGCCATAAGGAAATTCTGCACTCAGATAAGAAAGGTGTCAAATTAGGTTTTCTATGTGAATGATACCTCAACATTACCTTGAGTAAGATGCTACATTTAAATGATTCCATAATTAATCCATTAGTCATTATAAAGTGAGACCAGCAGGAGCAAACTGGTTAAACACTCTATTGTTGGTTTAAAGCTAAAACACATGATCAACAGACTCACACAGTGTATCTATTGCTGGGTTGTGACACTTCAAAAAGCAGGTGGCAAAACAGAATGTCTGTATGTTCTTCTTAAAAAACAACCAAAAATCTTGCAAGTACAAAAAAATAACAGATAGAACAAAATGGTAATTTATATACATACTCAAATCATGCATGTAAAATGGGGGAAACATGCAATACCCACTATCACCACCTGGATTAATTCAGTAGAGATATATTATACAGGTTCATTTCTGAAATTTGGCTAAGTGTTTTACAGTATATAGTTTTACATGCTTATACAGAAGTAAACACCATTTAATTCAGTGAGATATACACTAGTTGAATATACATAGGATTATAGTCTTTGATGAATTTTTGAATAGGATAAAAAATGTAAGGCAGATAGTGCTTCTTACCTTTTTCTTCAGTGCATTAATATATAATTCACTGTTAGCAAAATAGAGTGATGTATTTGCCTGAAATATTTTTATTCCAGGACCTTCTTTGACCTAAAGCATGAAAAAAAGTATAATATTTAAGCACTTCTTCCTCAATGTATTTACAATGGAGCTTGACACCCATCCATATATCAAGAGTGAAACCAGAGTTTGGTTGCTAAAGCAACCCAAAAAGTATGTTCTAAGTCCCACTTACAAAAAAAAAGTAAGGTGCTGTGGGAGAGGTGGAGGGAAAAGGGGGTCGTAGAGGCTAGAGCAGTTGTCCCCAACCTTGGGCCTCCAGAGGTTCTTGGACTTCAACTCCCAGAAATCCTGGCCAGCAGAGGTGGTGGTGAATGCTTCTGGGAGTTGTAGTCCAAGAACATCTGGAGACCCAAGGTTGGGGACCACTGGGCGAGAGCACTTGCAGCCAACCCCACTTCCAAGGGCAGCATACAGTCCATGAACTGCCTGTTCTCATCCACCATTCTGGAATCACTGTCTTTGTAGATCAGCAAACAACCTTTCCATAAAAACCTACCCCAAGTGAAGGCTGATATCCATTCAGGAGCCACTTTAAAGCAGACTTCACATTTGTAAGGTGGTTAAGAGCTGACAATACAAACACCATACAACTACAGCTTCATACAGGGAGGCATTCATCTAAACAAGCAAGCAGATGCCTCCCACACATCAGTTTAGGCCATTTCTCTCTGTTGAGCAAGTAAAAATGCTTTCAATGAATAAGGGCAGACAGAAAAAAAACCTTCCCATTTTTAAAAGTTGTCACAGATTACTAGCTCATAAAAATGTATTTTGCTTCGTAACCACCTTGACTTCCTCTCTGCAATAGTCAGACTGCCCCTGGATTTAGAGACTGAACCTGGGTCTTGCCACACAGCATTATGAGGAATTAGAATTGGCCTGAACCACTCTAAGATGCAGGTGAAATAGACCAAATGCTTTTTATCGCATAATAGTCTCTCAGCAGAAAAACTCCGGCACTTCCTTAAGAAAGAGTCTAACTCAGCTGACTCTCTCTGGAAAATTTTCCTACCAGGAAAGCATTCAGAAACCTGATGGCCTCTAGGTAACCCTTTCTGAAGTGGTGTAGCCCTTTCTGAAATTTCAGGATTCCGTCTCTACTTTCTGCGTAATCTACAGAGCATTACTGAAGCATGTTAGGAAGCCAGTTCACATTTTTTGCCATTACTGACAACCTGCATCTCTCTCTTGCCCTCTCTCTATTTTGCCTCACTCCCCATTGCCTTCTGACCTCAAAATGTGGCTTATGGTTTTCCTTATTTTTCCTCTTTGCTGCTTATTCAGACTGCTCTCCTAAATATTACTACCCACGCCTCTCCCTCTGGTAGGCCTAAAGTGATAGGAATGGACTGTTCAGGGGAAAGCCATGACAATATCCTAGAATTTACAATCAAGGCTTTGTTACAGATTCTTCCTACTACAGCCAAAGGATGCACAATGCTTGCCTTGTTTCTCAAAGAATATTAAATCTTTTTACACTCCTTTACCTCTTCATACTCTTCCACATCACAGTAAATGTCTGTACCAGGAATCTGGCCGAGGATTCTGTACTGTGGACTGAAGAGAAATAATAATCACATTGATAGATAACAAGATAAATCTGTATTACAGGCACCTATTAGGGTTTGAATTTTACCTCTTTTGAAGGTTCCCAAGCCCTGATGACTGATCATTATCTAAAATGTAGTGGCACTCAACATGTGAGTGGAAAATTAAGGGGACTGTGGTGGGAGAGGAAAGACGTGAGGAGAAACTAGTGGAAGTAATGAGATCACAAGGGCTACAAAGAGCAAAATATTGCACAGATTGCAGCTAAAGAGAGAAAGGAGCAGAACTTTGATGGCAAAGTAAAAGGAAGAAAGGGAGAAATTCCACCTGGAAAGAGCAAGGAAAACGTATGCATCTCAGTGCCTAGTATAGTCCTGGGAATGACAGCTGGAATCAAACAGACATCCTAAGATTCTCCTCTTCTTAAGGGTATTCACACACAGCATTTAATATTTGAGTCACTGTTTATCAAAAAGGGAGGATCAGATGGTGGTATGGCTAATAATTTAAGCTGTTACAAAACTAAGTCATATGCTGTTGATGAACTGGAAGCCTACATAATAGAAAAACATATTATATTTCAGAGAAATCAAAAAAATAAAGTGCGTTGCTAAGTTCTACAGTAAGCTGAGCAGAACACTAGATTTTACAGCCAGGTCACCATTTTAGGGTGAACATAGTTTGGAGTCTAATGTCAAGATGCATCTAAACACACAGTCTTTCTATAGTGTTTCCACACTGAGCATAGAGAAAGTGTTGTATTTTTTTATTTCTCACTACTCTGCATCATGGTGATTACATCACTCTCACCTCCAACAGCTTTCATTTGAAAGAATATATGGTTGAACATTAACCTCACCTTTGTGTTCGGTACACAATGGTAATCATTGCAAAAGCTATGGAAGTAATCAAGCCATAGTCTAGACCCAGAAGAAATGAGGAAAGGAATGCCACAATCCAGATAGCCTAAGGAAAACAAACAAACACATCAGTAATAAACTCTTCAGCCCATTGTCCAAATGGTGCAGAGCGGATGAAGCTTCCGCCACTCAGACTGGCTAAGGAATACTATGGATAGTGCTTTCACTTTTTTTTCTGTTTTGTTCTAATGGAGAGTTTTTTTAGGAGCAAGGTGGTGTAGAAATATTTTTTTAAAAATAAATACATTTTCAACAGCCCCAAATAAAACGTTGGTAAGGATAAGAAAGGTTGAAATACTGAGCACTTCATGTTCTCATTTTATCTTTTTTTGTTGCAGGGAACAAACATGAGCAAAAAAGTAGGGTTGAAGAATTACTTGTATTTAAAACCTAATGACAGGCCTAATGTAGTAATACAGGGCAAGAATATATATTTGCACAGTCCACAAAGAGAAACTGAGGAAATAATATAGGACATTATTTTGAAGCCCTATTTATACAAGGACACACTAACCAGTTGTTCTTGTCAATAAACAGTTTGTGTGTTCCCTGATTTCGTAGACACAGAGGGTAAAAGAAAGAAGTCTCCAGGTAGTTTGTAGTTTATTCCTCCAGCCATTCAATCCAGACTAGAGTGGGAGAACTGTCTGTCAGGAGTTAAGCTTTGATTTTAGCTCCAGCCTAAATAAGGTTTATGTCCCTCTTGCTTTTTCATGGGGAAGGAGAGTTCCCACCATCTGATAAACAAAAAGACCACCACCTCCAGCACAACAAAAGGGGGGGAAAGAAAAAATATCCCCTCTGCTCACTTGCAAAATCATTCCCTAGTTGTCTGCAAACCTTGGATTTTGTGAGTAGTGTATCACGTGCAACATGTGACTAGTACAGTACATTTATAAAAGACCAGGACAAGGGCCCAGCAAGGCCCATAGTCTCCTCCCCGACCCCAAACCCACCATGGCACCGTAATAAACATTTATTATTATTATTATAAAAGACCAGGACTATGGGCCCAGCAAGGCCCATAGTCACCTCCCCGACCCCAAACCCACCATGGCTGCTCTCAAGTCTTGGGTACATCTTTTGTGAATTAATGAGGACTCCTGTATCGGTGCAAGACTTGCCTGGGGGCCCAGGACTAAGAACTCTATACTGCTTCTTTCCTGTAACTATGCATTTCAAAGGCAAACAGTGGCCAGGGTTCCAAGCTTTGCGGTGGCAGTTATCTGTGTTAGCATTGGGGCTTGTCCAGCTTGGAAAAATTATTACGGGCCTTAGCCATGCCGCCTGGCAGGTTCTGGGAGCTGCAGTTAGTGATTCTTCCAGACTTTAAGCCAGCCAAAGCCATGGTGCTTCTCCATCTGGTACTAGCACGGCAGAGCAAGAAAGCCCTCCTTGTGGTCCCTTTGGCCTGCTGCCAGTGGCAAATGAGAAGGTATGACCGCACATATGACCTTCCTGGTACTGACATCAGCAAAACAGCAAAAGAAGGCAAGCCTGCACCACTCTGCCCCCCAAACATTCACTGAAGCCCACCTAGTCACAGTGGAAGGCTAAGCACATTTGTTTGCATTTCAATGGTCTCTGCACCACTCTGCCCCCCAAACATTCACTGAAGCCCATCTAGTCACAGTGCGGCTACATGGACCAACTGTTCTTTGTGCAAGTGGAAGGCTAAGCACGTTTGTTTGCATTTCAATGGTCTCGGAATTTCAAAAAAGGCAGGAACCTCTCTTACACTGAAGGAGCCTTCCATTGCCCAATCAGCAAATCTTTGCCCCGCTCTTCACAGTCCCTTTACAGTACTAGATACACAGCCTGGAGCTTCTTTCCTCTTGCATCACTGGATGCTTGCAGTGCAACTCATCCTGTACAATACGGCACTCCAAGCAGAATGATAGACGGAGTAGTGCATTGGGTTAATAACAGTCAAAACATTACATACGCCCTTTGTTCTGCATCAACTCACTCACTAGTTCTATCCTGCTGGTCCTCCAGAAGTAAGCAATATCTCCAAACTGCTTGAACATGCCTTTCAGGTTGACCATTACAATTGCCGCAAGCACAGCCTAGAAACATATTATGGAAACAGTCAGAATTTCTTAACACATTTAGAATGGATAGGTAACTGTGGTTCTTTAAGTGGTCACCTGTGAATCCACTCACATGAGTACTTCTACACCTGTGCAGACTTCTCTCGGAAACATTCTAGAACCTGAAGCCCTTCCCTTCAGCTAGTATTCTGGTTCTGCCCAACCGTTGCTCCTCAGTTCCCTCGGTGCCTTAGCATAAGTGGAAGTAACATGACAGACAAATGGGAGGTTGTGTGGGTTGTGTGGATTCACAGATGACCACTCGAGGAACCAGAGTTAGAGAAAGTAACCTGTCCTTCTTTGTGGTCTCTGTGATTCACACCCATGGGTGACTCCCAGCTAACTTATTGGCTAGTGGGGTGTCACAGAAGCACAGCAGACAGCACTGCATAACCAAACAAGGCACTCAATTTGGATCAAACATCCAACCTAAAATAGTTCATAAAAGTCATAGGCTGGGACTAAGTTGCAGCCATGTAAATGTGCTGTAAAAAGTCATGTTTTAAAAAGTCTGTCGAGAGTGCCTTGAAAATGCATTCAAGGTAGTAGACAGAGGGCTTTTGGCTGATGTATAAGACAATGAGATCACTTTCACTACCCATTTTGATAGTCTTTGTTTTTTGTTTCCTTGGTAACAAAAACAGTCTAACAGATTTTCAGTTTATTAAAACAGTTTATTAGGTTTTCCTAAAAGAACTTATTCTACCATGTTTCCCCAAAAATAAGATAGGGTCTTATATTAATTCTTGCTCCAAAAACGCATTAGGGTTATTTTCAGGGGGTTTTATTTTACATTCATGTCGTCTTCTTCTGGTTGCTGCACAATGGTGGAGGGCAGGGTTTCACTTAACTGGGGCTTATTTTGGGGGTAGGGCTTATATTACGAGCATCCTGAAAAATCCTACTAGGGCTTATTTTCAGGTTAGGTCTTATTTTTTGGGAAACAGGTTATCAACACAGAATGCAAGAAGATGCCTAACATCCACTGTATGAAGTGTCCTTTCCATAGAGGATTTAGGTGTTGGGAGAAAACGTAAATAATACTAACGGTTGGTTTGTCTGAAAACTCGAGAGTATCATAGCTAAGAATGAAATGTCTGCTAACAAAGACACCTTATATTTATGAAACTGTAAGCTGGATATCAATGCTTTTTAAAAATCAAATTGATTTAAATCAAGATTTAAATTTTAAAATTTGATTTCATAACTTTAAATTGTCAAAAAATCAGATTTTTAAAAGAATTTAAATTTATTTAAATCAAATCCACCCTGACTGTTGTAGGACAAAAGACTCAAATGAACCAAAGTCATGGGTTCAAAGAGGCTTTGTCAATGGAGTAAAAACCACTGACAAGGACCCCTGTTGTGTCGGTGGTTTTATGTCTGGAGAGCTATTGTTCAAACCCTTCAAAAACCTCTTTACTTTGGAATTTGTACAAAGTTTTTGTGAGTTAGAACTTTCTGCTTGGTATGCCACAATAGCAGTCTAGACTTTAATAGAGGGTTGTGAAAGACTGCTCTTTTTAAGGCTCTATAGAAAATGGAGTACATAGTGCAATGTCGTTGGTAAATATGGCTCATTAATAGAATTTGCAGTCTTTAAATTTCCTCTATTTATGACAATATAACTTTCTAGTAGAGTTCTATCTCCCTTAGAACTCTTGTTATTGAGGGATAATTCTCCAATTTCAGTTTTTAACGTGGGTGACAAATCTGACATCTTAGGAGATCTGAAATAGCAACAGGGATAATTCTCCAATTTCAGTTTTTAACATGGGTGACAAATCTGACAGTTGTGACATGTTAGGAGATCTGAAGTAGCAACAGTCTCAGACTGTCCAATGCCAATAGCAGTAGGATCATAAACCATGACTGGTGGCCATCAAGGGATTACTAACATAATATCTTTCCTCTCTTTTTAAATTTTCACAATTGCCCAATGAATTAACGGAAAGGTGGGTGGTGGCACATACAAGTGGGCACCTGATCAAGTGTAATGAATCACTCATGGAATTTACACCCTTGCTGCTGTGGAACACTACATCTTGCAGTTTGTTCCTCGGGATAACAAAAAGGTGTGTTTGTGGTGACCCTCCCTGCAGTGTTAATTATTTGTAAATCCTGTTTAAAGTGGGCACCTGATCAAGTGTAATGAATCTCTCATGAAATTTACATCCTCGCTGCTGTGGAACACTACATCTTGCAGCTTGTTCCTCTGGATAACAAAAAGGTCTCTTTGTGGTGACCTTCCCCCCAGTGTTAATTGTAAATCCTGTTTACAGCTCCCATTCATAAGTATACATCTGATTTCTACTCAGGACATCTGCAGTCTGGTTATCCTCACTAGAGATACGGACTGATATAAGGTAAGTCGGTCTCTTGATGCACCATTCTCAGAGGTGCATTGTTAGAAGCAGTAAGGCCATGGAATGGGTGCTGCCCTATAACCATGGAATATGTCGTAGTGGAGTTTGTCCATAACCTCCTTTTCTCCTTTGTCACTTCAAAGCATGTCTGCTTTGAAGCCAATTGGTTTCAAAGTAGGAAATTGATTCTGAGGCTGGTGTTCAGAGTCAGAAACACTGGAACTGACTGAGGACTTGCCCTTATGCTTTTTGTATGCTTTGTGTTGAGTTGATACCAAGGAGAAAGGTCAAGATTGACTATTTTTTGGTGTTGCTGCTGGGGATGTACTTATTGGTTTCGAAGGTCAAGTACTTCTATCATGGCATCACTAAAGGAAATTAATTTATTTATTAATTTAACATATTTTTTTACACTGGCTTTCTCCTTGGACCCAAGGCAACCTACATTGTTAAAATACACTATTACAGCTAACAACAGTGAGTATACAACCCATTGTTCTTCATAATGGGATACTGATGCACGCCACTCTGCAGCCACACAGAAAGGTGGTGGGGAGAAGAAAAGATATGGGGGAGCCATTGGCCTGCCCCCTTTAGCTGAGCTCTCTTTAGAGTTGGAATCAATGGCCTTGAGTGACTGCTCCCACAAGAAGAATCTTAATCTTGACTGCCTATTCTTTACCTTTGACTACCTTTGTAAAGTTTTGGCAAATTTTATAGTTCTGGGTTTGATGACCTTCACCAAGACAGTAGAGAAACTTCTTGTGGTCGTCAGTTATAACTATCTTGTCTCCTGAAGAGACACAAAGTTTGAATGGGGCTTCAGAGGGCGTGAATGGCAGCAGCTATGACAACTAATATTATGGTCTTTTTTAGACAATGAAGAATGAAAATGAAGAGAGGGTAAGTTACAATGTAAGTAACACACAAAATTAGGGAATAACTGTTTCAAAGAAAGCATACTTGCTCTGAATGCTTCAAAGATGCTGCCTATTCGGCAGTTAGAGGTAACTGAGGAGCAACCATTGGGTGGAGCAGTGTATCAGCTGAGAGAAAATGTTAAAGCTCTAGAGCAGTGCTTCTCAATGTTGGGTCCCCAGATGTTCGTGGACTAAAACTTCACCACTACCTGTGCTGGGCAGGATTTCTGAGAGCTGTAATACAAGAATGTTTTGGGGACTCAACACTGGGAAACACTGCTTTAGAATGTTCCTGTGATTGTCTGCACAGGCACAGAAGTACCCATGTGTGTGAATCACAGAGACCACAAATAAGAACATGCTATTAACCAAAAAATGACCTACATTATATAACTAGCAGGATCAATTTAAGAGACCTATCTACATGCACACATTTGAAAACAAATGAAGATGATCTGTTAAAGTGTAGCCAGTCAAACATTTCCCTCTGATCTTGTGTTTATTTGGTCTAATCTCATCAGAAACCAACAAGATGTCTTTATGAGAACTATCCACAGGTATTGTTTTGTGTGTGTGCCTCTAGCTGTTGGCTTTTCTAGACAACCTGTTTTAAAACACTTTGCAAGACAAATGCCTCAGGCAACGAAAAAAAGACGAAAGCGTCTTGCAAGTTTTTTGGTGCCCCGCAATGAAAGCGTCTTGCAAGTTTTTTGGTGCCCTGCATGACAAAGCTATTTTTGTCTTGCGAGGTACATTTCCCCATAGGAATGCAAGCCTCCGAATGGAAAAAGGCAGGGGAAAAGGGCGGGAAAGTCAAAAATGGTGTTGGGGAAGTCTTCAGAGGCTTCGACAGCACCATCGGAGGACTGCCGGGGGACCTCTGAAAGCGGCGATTGTGGTTGCAGGGGACCCTTGCCAGTCCTCCGATGGTGCTTCCCTAGCTCCCTACCTGGTAAGTGACTTTTTCAGAGTGTTTTGGCCCATAGGAACGCATTCATTAAATTTCAATGTATTCCTGTGGGAAAACGTGCCTCGCAAGATGAAAATTTCACAAGACAGGTCTCACGGAACGAATTATTTTCGTCTTGCGAGGCACCACTGAACATATTAGTCCTGAATAGAATTTCTATCCAGTTCAAATGAAACTCTTAACTCTGCATGATTTTAGAAGAGACAGTTGATATTTTTATTCATCCACATTAGGATCACTGGAACTTAAGAAGTGGAAACAAAAATGCTCACATCGGTCTTGGTCATGTCAGTTACTAGGTTCTTGAAATATTAATTTAGTCAAACAAGACACAATCAAAAATCCATACTAGAAAATAGGGTGGTCACATAAGATGGAGGAGAGGGCTCCTATATCTTTAGTAGTTGTATGAAAGAGAAAATTTCAGCAGATATAGCTTGTCATGCAAACTACACCTGCTCAAATTTTAATTCCACATAACTATTAAGGATAAACCAGCTCTCCAGGTCAAGCATCCAGCAACTGACCTTGCAACTGAGCATTTTGAAAGCAACATAGAAATAAAAAGTTTAAAAAGGACAAAAAAGTGGTGTCACCTTAAAGACTAACTTTTATATTTTTTAATGTGAGCTTTTGTGGACACATCCACCTCATTAGAGATCCTACTTTTACCTATAATGCTTCCACAGACTAATATAGCTACCCCTTCTATAAATACTCCTACTGAGGGTATCTACAGAATGAAGCAGATGCAAAAAAAACCAAGCCCAAATACTCAGCAATTACCAAAATTATTCTATTATCCTGCCATGAAATCAAATCTTGAGGTTATCAACACTGCACAAAACATACAATCTAGCAACATTACGGACTGTGGAAGCACTAAATAAAAATATTTTTATTTCTGCCTATTCTCTGCTTAAAACTTGAATGAAAATGTATACATAAAGATCCCTTACCTGTGGCAGTGGTTCAAAGAGGTAACCAATTGCAACAATGACCAAGAAAACCATAATTGAAGACAGAGTGCCAGCAATCTAAATAAAAGACATATTTAATGACATTTCTCAAGAACATGGACCAGAATTAAATAGCTTTTTAAAATGCACATCTACTGATAATTTTGAATGGAAGATTTAAGTTCTTCTCATTAGTTTTTCTATATATTTTAAATTCAAATTTTAATCTGTTTTCAGCAGGGACTGGGATGTATCCAGAAGCAAATCATGTCAAACACTAAAAGTTACATTTTGAAATCCAAGGAAAAAGTATTCACTTTAATGTTACATTGCTATATTGTTGCTGTATTGTTTAGCGCAGTGGTTCCCAACGTTTTTAACGCCAGAGACTGTTTAGCTGAACACCATTTTCCCAAGGACCAGGGGAGTGGCGGCATTTATACATGCATCTGTGCATGCATGCAGGGGCGTGTGTGTGTGTTTGTGCGGAGCGTGTGTGTGTGTGTGCATACGTGTGTGTGTGTGTGTGTGTGTGTTTGTGCGGAGCACGTGTGTGTCTGTGCATACATGGGGGGCATGCGTGTGTTCATGGGTGCCAGAGTGTGCATGCATACATGCAGATTTCTTCAGCCCTCAAAGATCTGTCTCCGTGGCCCGGTCGTTCAAAGGCCACGGACTGGTCCCAGTCCATGGCCCAGGGGTTGGGGACCCCTGATTTAGGAGGCAACACTAGGTAATGTGAACTAGGATCGAATGTCAGGGAACATGAAAATAGAGCTAAGATCCTGACTCACTGAATTACCTTGGAAAGTCACTCTTGAATACCCTGAGGATGAAATGCGATAACCTGACTGTGTAAAACAGCATCCAACTGATTTATTTTAGAGGAAGGAAAAGATAGACCTAAATAAAAATACCTGAGTCTTTCCACCAGTGCCCTCTTGGACAAGACTCCGAGACATTGAACAAGTAACTGCAAAGGTCTGGAAAAAGGATCCTGTAGAATTACATATGCCTAAGGCAATGAGTTCCTATGATGACAGAAAAGAGGACAGTGAAAGCCATATACTGTATACTGAACACTGGGAACAAGTATCAAATATGATTTTTATATAAATGATTGCCGATGCTTAATTGAAAAGAAACTAATTGAAAAGAAAGATACATAATATATTCAAGCACTGAATGTTACTGAATATTTTAAATTATGATTAAGTCCATTTAAACAACAGCTGAACCTCTAAATCTTCATAAACATTAATAAGGCTTGCACTGTATTGTGGAAACTGCACATTAAGGATCCTATGTTGATATTTGACTGAATTAGTCAGATGGTCGGTGTAGCATTAGCAAATTTGTCTACTAAAAGCATCCGTTCTTCCTAACCCCCAGACCTCTTTGGGATGAGATGAAAGCACAGTGTAGATACAGTGCTCCCAATCTTGTAATTTTCAACAACTAAAGCTAGGTTGGAAACCAAGCCTTATGAGGAAAAGCTAAAAGAATTGGGCATGTTTAGCCTTGAGAAAAGAAGACTGAGGGAGATATGATAGCACTTTTCAAATATTTGAAAGGCTGTCATACAGAGGACGGGCAAGATCTGTTCTCGATCATCCTAGAGTGCAGGACACGCAACAATGGGCTCAAGTTACAGGAAGCCAGATTTCAACTGAATACTGTATCAAGAAAAAACTTCCTAATTGTTAGAGCAGTACGACAGTGGAACCAGTTACCTCAGGTGTTGGTGAGTGCCCCAACACTGGAGGCATTCAAGAAAAACTCAGATAATCACCTGGCAGATATGTTTTGATTATATTCCTGCATTGAGCAGGGGGTTGAACTTGATGGCCTTGTAGGCCCCTTCCAACTTCACTTTTCTATGATTCTGTGATTGGGAAGATAACCCACTGATTTCAGGAGGCTTTTGAATAGATATTGAGAGACATCTATTAAATCACAATTGATTTACCTGATTTCCATCAATTGTATAGCCATGCTTAAGAGCAAAGATTTTGGCCATGGAGACTGTCATGGAAAATCCAACAAGAGCTATAGCTATTGCATCCACATATACTTTTGGGATGAGGCTGATATCAGGTACTTGTGGAGGACGTAACCTGCAAGTGATTCAGGAGGGAGAAAAAGAGACTGTAATGTGTTCGCTCTATTAAACTACATAGCCACAACCATATCTATTCAATTCTTTGTCCTTACCCTTTAGGGATATTACCAACAACGTCAACTCCATAAGTCTGAGACAGACTCATTCCAGCTGAAACTCCGGTACCAATTACTACCTTAAAAAAAAACCCAAATATGCAAAAGAACAGTTAGCAACTTGGCTAAAATAGGAAAAACTGGAGAGGAATTTCTCCGGGTATCTCTGTACAATGAAGGACATTTCAGTGATGGTTTAAAACATATTTGTTTATCTCTGAGCCCAACGTACCACAATTATCTCCATAGGGATAGGAACAGGCAGTTTCTTCTTGAAGCGGTCATTGATTTCCTTACCAATCAGCAACAAGATGATGCAAACCAGTCCCACAACTAAAGCTGCTATGTTGGTTTTTGTAATGTCTGAGAACACAGCATTTAAACTCTGAAAGATAATGAAAGTGTGGACAATTACTCCTATATGATACAGCCAAATGACAAACAGAAGTGAATAAGGATATGAAACTATTTTGATGTTATACTCTGAAAATCACAATTTTCATTTTTTAAACTCTTCTTTAGGTAGGCTTGGCAGAAAACACACAACAAAACTCAAGAAGCTACAGTACAGTTTTCAGGAGAGGGAATTCCTACCAACTTCCTATGAAGAACAAACATAGAATAAACTGGGGTAATAGCAAATAAATGCAATTCTCGTTTGCTGCATTGTTTGTTCTGAACACAGAACTCAACTTTCCGTGGTAAAAAACTTCAGTTCTGCACACAGAAGAACCCAGTTCTATTTGTAGAATAAATCTCAAAGGTTACACATGAATAAACGTAAAGGTTCCCCTTGACAATTTGTCCAGTCGTGTCTGACTCTAGGGGGCAGTGCTCATCTCCGTTTCCAACCCATAGAGCTAGCGTTTGTCTGAATACAATCTTCCGTGGTCACATGGCCAGCGTGACTAGACACGGAACACTGTTACCAACGTGGTTGTACCTATTTATCTATTTGCATTTTTGCATGCTTTCGAACTGCTAGGTTGGCGGGAGCTTGGACAAGCGACGGGGGCTCACTCCATCGCGTGGATTCAATCTTACGACTGCAGGTCTTCTGACCTTGCAGCACAGAGGCTTCTGAGGTTTAACCTGCAGCGCCACCACGTCCCTTATACACATGAATAGCAAGATTTAATATAAGATGCACAATACTAACAAACATCTGTGCTGATCACAAACACATGCCAATATTGCGATAATGCCAGTCCTAACTAGAGTGGAAATCAATGGAACTCATCTAAGTGGCGGTGTATAAGAAGTCCAGTTCTTTTCCAAGAGTGAACTGGGCTTAGTCTGACATTGGATTTAGAGAGTGTTGTATCAATATAGATTTTGACTAAAATACTGTACACTTTAAAGCAGTGTGGCAAGCATCAACAATTACATTCCTCCAGCACACAGGCGCAAAACACAGAATTTACTGATGCCAGACAATGCTCTATCATTTGGGTGACATTAATAACTAGCTGTCAGTTGAACTGTATTTAAAAACTTAAGTAAAACATCAAGTCATTTAACACAGAGAGTGCTGACAGCTCCTAAAACAGTGTAATTAGGTTAATCTTCCTAATAAAATCATGCCTTCTTCAACAAGGAAGCCAGATACGTTTGAAAAGGTATGAATAGGTGTATAGGCTGGTAGCTAACAAAAGGTCTTCAGGGTTACAATAGTAATGAATGCATTTCTAATTTAACTGCAGCAAACGTGCTGGACAAGGGAAGGCAGGAAAAATGCCTACAGAGCATGATTGTATCCAATTTCAAAATATCTGGCCCAAGTTTGTTTATTATTGTTGTAAAGACAAAAAGGGTTGCTAGATCAGTTATATAGTCTACATCTGGATCCAACTCCCCCCTCCCCCCAAAAGCTGGTACACAATTGGTTTTGCTGAAAAGGTTTGTCTGAAAATTGTAAAATTTTGGAACCAGGATACTTCCCATATTGAAAAGGTAACACATTCCATATGTGTTGTCTCTGACGGATTTTTGGTATCACCTGGCAGGATAAAGTTCCAAACAGAGTAGTCCTAGAACAAGCTGTAGTTTTTAGCATGTATACATTGCTGAAACAGCGATGTCTATGTTGGCTTGGGCATGTTGTAAGAATGGCTGATGGTCAGATTCTAAAAGATTTCCTATTTGGAGAATTAGTGCAGGGCAATCGCCCCAGAGGGAGACCACAGTTGTGATACAAGGATATCTGCAAGCGGGATCAGAAGGCCTTGTAAATGGATCTCAACAGATGGGAAACCCTGACATCAGAGCGTTCAGCCTGGAGGCAGGCGGTGCATCGCGGCCTCTCCCAATTAGAAGAGACCCTTGTCCAGCAAGCTGAGGCAAAGAGGCAGTCACGAAAGCAGCAAAATCAGGGAGCTAGATGGGGTACAGAGTGTATTTGTCTTCAGTGTGGAAGGGATTGTCACTCTCAAATTGGCCTTCTCAGCCACACTAAATGCTGTTCCAAGTCCTCCATGCAGTGCACAATACCATAGTCTCTCGAGACTGAAGGATGCCTAATCTGCAAAGTATAATGCCTAGAGCTTCATTTTTTGTGAATAAATATTTGAAGAGGATGATGAAAGGATCCTTTCTGAAGAATTAATTTTCATAATGTGACAGGTAGCTAAAATGGAAACCACTTGGCATTGAAAGAATGGCAGAGATCTGCATCAGTGGACTTGGTTTGACAGAATGTGTCCTATTGCTCTATTGGAAAAATTATCATGCAAACTTCAGTGGCAAGAGGTGTTGAAGGGATGTGGGAAGCTTGCTGAGCCATTGATCTTTTCACCTTACAAGCAAATGAAAAGAATGTGTCCATCAGCTCACCAGATAAACTGACTAAGCTTTAAAAGAACGTATTCTGACAAAGTGGCAGGAACCATTTAGGCATAAATTAACAACTGCAGGATCAACCAACAGGAAAGTACTTAACATTGAATTTCACTTAGGGATAGTTATTGTTGTGTAATCTAATATATTATAATGTAATGCTAAATTACAGTGACGGCTGCTTAATGACAAGAACAGCTATAAATGTTGCATGATTATAGGAAAGTTTTTAAAAATGCATTAAAATACCATCTGGCACACATGATATTTGAATGGTGAGAATCCATATGGCTCCTGTGCAGACTGCAAAAGATCAATAGTCTTTGTCTACTTTTTAAAGATGAAATTTCACAACAGGCAAAACTATTTGACAGTACTGTGCCTACAGCAGCCTTCCCTCACCTGGCCAGTGGTCATCCAAGCTGGGGATAGTGGGGTTTGTAGTTCAACACCTCCCGCTAGGTAGGGAACACTGGACAACGCAATTAGCCTCAATTAATTTTACAGTCATGGCTCCCCTCTCTGCATGGAACAAGTCTATCTGACTATGGTTTCCTAGGAAATTTTCAAAATGACAGTTTCTAAAAGTCGTTGGTGAAAGCAATCTGAAAAACTGTTTGAAAAAAGTTCAGTATGGCCATGGGCTGCAAGAGCTATACACTTTCTAAAACCAGGTGGACTATAAATCATCAGGAATGTTCCTGCTACATGTAATTTCACTGTGCAGTTACTTACATAAAGGGAGGAGAGGGGTCCACTGAACCTTTTAGTTTTCACACCAAGCAGATACTTTAACTGAGAGGTGAAGACATGAACGGCTGCAGCAGTGGTGAATCCCCGTACCAGGGGCTCCGTCAGATAAATGGCTACAAATCCAAATCGCAGGAGTCCTAAACAGAGCTAATGCAAAGAAAAAGCATGTTCTAACAATCACTTTTTGCAATCTACTTTAATTTTAAAAAGTCAGCACTGCAAACAGCAACAGAGTTAAGAAGGCCTTGCCAACAGGATCAAGTTGAAGTTAAATTTCCAGCAAAATCACATCCTTTTCGTTCCTTGCAACTGTGCAGTCCTTCCCTTCAATCTCCTAGCGTAGCATGTGGAAACAAGCAAATCCTGCTGAATATACAGTAATTACTCTGTGATTTGCATGGGGTGGGGAAAGAATAGACAAGGATGGGCAATATGTCTTCCTTATCAATGCTGGACTAAAACTCATCTCATTCTTCACCAATGCTATGCTGTTTAGGGCTTATCAGAGCTGCCAACCAACAATATCTGGAGGGCTCAATGTTCCCCATCCCAGGAACAGTGTGATTTGGCAACGGTCAAAGAAAAGCAGGCAAGGCTGTAAGGCAGAAGAAATGACCACAAGACTCCACTAAGACTTGAGGAGATTATAGTGGTCAAGAGTTGGGGGGTTCTCTTCCTCATCACTATGAAAATAAGAACAGGTAAAGGGAAAGGTTCCCCTTGACAATTTGTCCAGTCGTGTCCAACTCTAGGGTGCCGTGCTCATCCCTGTCTCCAAGCCATAGAGGCAGCGTTTGTCTGAAGACAGTTTCCATGGTCACATGGACAGCGTGACTAGACATGGAATGCCGTTACCTTCCCATCGAGGTGGTATCTATCTACTTGCATTTACATATTTTTGAACTGCTAGGTTGGCAGGAGCTGGGACAAGCGACGGGAGCTCACTCCGTCACATGGATTCAAACTGCTGGTCTTATGACCTTGCAGCCCAGAGGTTCTGCAGTTTAACCTGCAATGCCATCATGTCTCTTGAAAAGCAAAATAACTTCCATCAAAGAGATAAATTTGGCAATTTTCACATGTTCACACTTTTTATTTTGAGAAGAGCAAAGTGAATGCAGTCATGGTAATGGTGCTACCAATTAAGTCCAGGACAGCTTCCTACATTCACCACTCACAAACACAAACATTCAGGTTGATACTACATTCCCAATGGTTAGGTAGGAAAAGGGACACATTCTGTGCCATTTTAGATTGTAATGGAAAATAAGAAGATGGATCATAAGCTTTCTGAGCAGGGATATCTTGCTGCAGATTGCTTGTGTTACCTGTATGATCCCTGTGAGCAAGGTCACGGCAACAGCTACTTTCACCCTCATGTCATCTTTGGCTGTAAAGCTATCAAGATCTGTGCTGTTGGTAGAGTTGGTGCCCACACTGTCAAACATTTCATCAGGTGCTTCTCTAACAACAACTCCTCCAATCATCAGGCTAATTACAGCAAATGTTCCTAAAAGAGTATGAATTCAGGGGAATGTGTGTTCATTATCATCCTCAAGGAAATCTAGATAAGCTTCCATATTTTGGCAGATCATAAAAGTTCAGCTCCTGAGAAGAAGGAATCTACAGTGCAATCTAAAGTAGGCCTTGAGTGCATGTGAGAGACATACCAGGTTTTTCCTTACATCCAAATCCTTGCTGAGTCCTGCCATTTAGAGCAAGAGGTATGGGGACAGCAGGTCCATATTTTGGTACCATATTATTCATTCTCAACTCCCTGTTCTAGGGCAGGGAATCTACAACAGCTCTATGCTGGCATATAAATGGAACCAATCCTGAGGTCTCTCTGGTGAATGAAGAGGCTCTGAATCTAGATTATAATGGGGAACATGAAGCCTTCAACAACAACTGTTTGCCACAGACAGCATGGCCAACTGTCAGGAGTTATGGCACTTGTAGTTCCAACAAATCCAGAGGTCCACACACTTCCTATCCTGATAAAGAGGACCTCTGGCTACCTCTGTTACTGTATGTCCCCAGAATGTTCTAGTTTCAGGGCAAAGCTTCATTCAAGAGGTTTTCTGGTGGGCATAACTAGGTCCTCTGCAACAGATGCATTTTGCCTGCCCCAGTAGACAGGCACCCCTATTCCCTCCAAACCTCCCTCAGACAACTATCAAAGGGAGTCAGAACTGGCCCATGCATCACCTTTCTTCTTAAACCGTTTATCCAGCAACATCAATGGAAGCTTGTGAAATCGTTGTAATATTTCCACTAGAATCAATGGGAAGCTTTTGGATACAGTAATGAGTAAAGAAGGTTGGATATATTTTATTGATATGATAATAGCTGAAAACCTGTGGGTGGGATTTGCCTGCACTACAAGAATGTTGTCACTGGCAGATTGCTGCAGATTAAAAGCATCCTTTTGCAAGTTCAGGGTCCATATGATCTTGTTGCATCATGTGCAAGCTGTGAATATTTCCAAAATCCAAAAGGAGGCCTTCCATCAGTCGCAATCTACTCCTGCTAATGAAGTCATTCCCAATGTGCTGGTGGAGCTGCATAACAGGATTTCTGTCAATATGAATAGTTTCCAAAGCATTGGAGTGTTCAGATTCCTTAATATCCATTATCTCATTAATGCAGAAAACAATCACATAAGTTATGGAATGTTATTATCTCCATATTACAGAACAAGGGCTCCAATCAAACCATGTAGTCAGTTGACAGCTGCGGAAGAGTGGAAGTATAGATCACTGATTCTTAGCCCAATCGTGTAACAGTACTACTATTCTGGGTCTCGTTGAAATTTAGCAGAGTACATCTACTTCAAACTAGTCACATTTTACATGCGCTGAAATTAATAGTGGTGTTAAAGCGTAATGGCTGTACAGTTAAGCTAAGGTCAAAGAAACCAAGATTTAATTTCCATGCAGCACTTTCTGTAGGTTTGTTATGGGACACATTATCTGTCCTCAACCTGCACCTGTAACTCAGCCATGACTGAAACAGGTAAACTTGACTTAAATGTCCTTTTTTAAAATGTTGCATTAAAAAAATAGAATGTTGGACAGTACATCTGCCCCCCCCCATGATTCTTTAAAAATCAGATTTAAAAATGGTTTTCAAAGAAAACAATGCTTATATGTTGAAAGATGTACCTATTGATATGTGTCTGGAGGTTCCAAAAAAAGTGTATAGAAAGACTGGATAAAATGAAGAATAGAGGCCAAATACTGGAGGCACCGCTGCCAGCAATGCATAAGCTAACCCTGGGAGGAGAGACAGACAAACAGAGAAGAAAAAGAGACATTAGAAGAATGTATAGATAATTTAAATGAAAATAAATAAACAAATTGGAAACATTACTGTTTCCAACTACAACTCCGAGAAAAATGTTCATACACGTCACATTAATACTAGGTATAAATGCGCAGAAGGTCAAATTTATAGGCCGTTTTATGTGTATATACTTGGTCAGCAACTCATTTTACAGAAGAGCCAGTTGCAGAAGGAGAAAGAAGGTGCTGGACCAGGGTTTCTCAGGAATGGAAAGGTTAAAACACTTCCTGAGTTGCCAAATTTCTGTGTGTATGAATTTCATTCTTATTTTTGAGTGGAAGAGCATCCAGTCATGGGAAAATAAACTTGAAAACTTAGGTTGTAAAATACAGGCACAGGTTGGTGTTGATTCGTTATTTAACCCTGCCTTTCTCCTTAAAAGGATCCAAGGCAGTTTACAACATTAAAAGTAAAATATTTAAAAGCTACAAACAGTAAATATACAAATATTTAAAAAGAATTAAACTAGTATCATATTAAAACAGTAAATAAAATCAATACTAAAAAAACCCTTTAAAAGCAACAGAACACAACAATCCAATTTGAAAAGTCCTCAGTGGGAACTACTGTATTTTTCTGTGTATAATATGCTACGTTTCCCTAAAATCGTTAGACTAAAAATTGAGGATCTTCTTATACATGGAAGTAAGCCAAGGAGAAAACCACACAGTTGCAAAACTGCCTATGTCTCTGCAAACTGTCTGCCTCCAGTCACCAGTGAACCTGCCAATAGCTTGTCTCTGCAAACAGGTTTCCTCCAATCACGAGCCTCATGTAAATGACATAAACTGATGCGGAGGGGAGAGTGTAGCCAGTGCAACATTGACTGGTAAAGATCCCATAAAGATGTCAGAAAATAAAAAAGAAAATAAGCGAATGTCTTACTGTGCAAAATTCAAACTGAATGCAATCAGTTATGCCAGTGATGGCGAACCTATGGCACGCATGCCACAGCTGGCATGTAGAGCCCTCTCTGTGGGCATGAGAGCCATCAGGCTAGTGGCTAACCTAATCTCATGACAGCACTGACCCCTACTCGGTTTCTCCCCCATTGCTGAGCCCTTCGCATCCCCTTGTGTGTGTGAGTTGAGCCCCTGTCTTTCCCTGTCAGCCATGCCCCTTTTTCTTTTGGCCCCTTTCTGGCCACGGCTACTTGCTTCCCTCTACGGAATCAGGAGAGTGAAGAAGCAACCGCAGCTGTTTTGTTTGTGTGTAAGTGACTAAGGGGAGAGAGCCTGCGAGAGGGACCAAGCTGGGCAGGCAGAGCCTGGGAGGAGGAAAGCAGCAACAGGGATTTCTAGCAACTTCTAGCCTTGTTCTGATTTGGGGAGCAGTTTCTTCACCCTACGCCCCCCTTCCCATGTTCCTCCATGGCGGACATGAGATGGAGCTGCTCCAGAAGCTCTTGAGTCATTGTGTCTCCAGTTCCAAGGAGAGTTCTAACTCCTCCGGAGACCAAGCACTCGTAACCATCCTTCTCCCTGGGGAGGGAAAAGAGGCAGAGCAAAGGGGGAGGGGTTGCCTGTGCTTCTCTCTCCATCTGACCAGAAAGGGGGGTACCCTACTACAGAGAAAGGAAGGAAGGAGAGGTGCGAGTGGCGGGGTGCAAGTTCTGAAGCCCATCCTCTTCAACCCCAGGTTGCCTCTGACCTATGGTAACCCTATGAATCAACGATCTCCAAAATGACCTGTCCTCAATTGTCCTGCTCAGCTTTTACAAACTCAAGCCTGTGGCTTTCTTTAGGGAGTCTATCCATCTCATATTTCACCTTCCTCTTTTCCTGCTGCCTTCAACCTTTCCTAGCATTAATGTCTTCTCTAGAGAATCCTGTCTTTTCAAGATGTGCCCAAGTAGGACAACAGTTTCATAATGTTTGCCTCAGAGATAGTGACAGTGCCTCATTATTCAGGTTTTATTGCAGTGTTGGCATTCTGAAATAAATAAATTGGTTTTATGTTGTAGTTTGAGCACTTGGGGTCAAAAAAGTTCACAATCACTGAGTTACGCAAACAAGGCTGAATGAAGTTATTTGCTTAGCTAAGTGTGATGCATAATATCATAGCCCTGGTATGTAAACGTTGCCTAATTACTAAAATGTGTTCCTTTCTAATGTTTAAAATATTGATTTCTGAATTTTGGGTTAGAAAATGGGGGCATCTTATACACAGAAAATATGGTACACCTTATTCTGATTTTTTTTAAAAAAAAATTGGTAGTAATCAAAACCGAAATATTTTGCTACAGTTGAATTTTGCCCTTCCTCCAAAGAATTCAAGGCAGCCATACATTTTTCCCACCCCTCGCAACCCAAAGATTTATATTCAAGTGGGAACTGGAACTTGATTTTTCATGGGCACATTTACCACATTAACTGTTCTGGCTGCCATGGAGATGAATCTCAAAACTATAATATAAAATATTAATTGTCTATTACACTCCTTTGTATGGCCCTTGTACCATTTCAGTTTTCACAATGGAAACCATTTGGTTTCAGACTACCCTCTATGAGGAAAAATAAAATAAAAATCAAGAATGAGTGTTAAATCACTGTCTCAGAAAAAAAGTTAGCCTTCACTCTGTAGTTGTAACCTTCAAAATTTTCCCACATGGGCATATTTGAACAAGATATTTCTTGCAGGAGAACTGAGGAAGTACAGTTTCATAGGAAGAACGCATTATCTCACTGCCACAAAAAATGTCCTTTATGACTGCTTTAAGGTTTCCGTAACAAAAAAGATAAACTTTACTAACCTTGAGGAAGCTGCATGACCCCAGTGCTTATACCTGAGATAATGTCTCCCAGCAAATAATCTTTCACTGGATATCGGGGGAGCCATGTAAAAATTGGGAAAAACCTACAGAGAACAGATTTGACTGTCTTGGAAGAACAACTGAAAAAGAAAAGAAAAAGGTACAATCAGCTAAAAAAAAGCATTGACAAAAGATACTTCTTATCCTAGAAAGTATATTGCACCAAGTAGAGGAGCCAGACCTAGCCTTCAAAGCAATCTTGCCCAGCCAAGTGCCCTCCAAATGTTTTGGACTAAATCCAGGTTCTTGATGATAATGGGAGCTGTAGTCAGACGCAACTGCCGGGCACCATGCTGGGAAGGTTGCTACAGAATAAGTTAAGCATGGAGTTCACAACACAATCCTATGCAGATTTACTCAATAGTAAGACCTATTATGTCAAGTGTGACTTATTCTTTGGTACGTGCAGATAAGACTGCAGTCTGGTCTTGTAATCATGTGCATGGTTACTCAAAAATCAGTTCTATTGTATTCAGAGGGACTTATTGACAGGTAAGCAGGCACCCTTAGGAAAACAGCCACAGTCATTAATTCAAAGTATTTTATACAATACAGAACTAAAAATTATCGTAATTTTACCTTTTTATATATTTACTTTAATCATCACACACACGTTTTTAGGGAATAAGTCATCAGGCCATTTTGAAATTACATAGCAAAACATATAAATATAAATAAATGTATAAAATGGTAATAAACAAGAATACATGTGCATGAAGTTACCTTTAAAACAACTATTTAAAACAAACCCCATTGACACTCCAGGTAATCTCTTAGTGGTTATAATATACAGTAACTAATTAGTGAACCTCTTTAATGCAAATGTACATGTAGATTATAAATATACTCTTTGGTAGAGTAAATCTGGCCCACTATCTCCCTTTAATCTGCCACTGAATTGGCCAACTATTTCTCTTTAATCTGCCAGAATAAATGTATTTTAAAGGCTGGAAAAAATGCTCACTTTGCTGCTAGAGGGAAGACAAGCTGCAATATATTTCAACCAAACTAAGGAGGTAAATCTAAGCCAAAACATTATTAAAAACATCTTAATGATAACAATACATCTATTTGACCTAGAATACCAAATAACACTAAGCTAAAGTTCAGTCACTTTTAATGAAATATGCTATTACTCTTAACAGATAACTTTTCAATAATGTTGCATTCCTTATGATTAAATGATTATCATTATCACCATCTACTTATACAATTCTCTACTTCACAAGAATGAAAGGACCAGTCCGAGCAACTTAACATTACCAAGGCAGTTTGGACAAGTAGATAAAATCAGTAAACCCTAGACTACATATTCTGGAGATAAATATGGCACTGTCTGCTTAGGAATGAAAGAGTGGGAGTGAGTCCTTCCTCCTAATTATTTCTGTTACTCTGAATACATTGATAATGAAAAACTAAAATATTTGGAAAAGATTAAGACCGCAATGTCAACAAATTGTTTAAGATAAGTTTTTTTTTTAATTTAAAAAAACCATGAAGGATGTGATTAGAGATGGTGGGTCTCCCCAGTCAGCTGCTGAGTAGTTGGCTGTGTGGGGAGGTGGGGAAGTGCCGGCTGGGCTACTTCCACGATTGGCGCAGTGTGAGTAATGATGGCCTGCGCAGCAAGTGGTAAGTTAACTGGCCTGTTCTGGAAAGAGGGTCTGGTTTCCAGGCACCTGTGGTGCTGATATTTGTATTCGTATCCTTGGAGATATAAATACGAATATCCCATCTGTAAATGTAATCTTTTGCACAATCTTCCACTTATATTTTGAAAAAGCGAGTCTGAGGAAGGGAATCATCATCATCATTGATGATGATTACATTGCACTTCTTATTTCTCAGCACTGCTGGTGCATAAGGGTGGAATATGGGATCAAACCATTCCAGGGAAGTTAGGCTAGCTCCATCTTTCCTTTCCTTCCGCAAGCAGGCATAGACCTTTCTCTTCAGGCAGGGTTTTCCTTAATGACTGGTTGTCTGAGAGATATTTAAAATGGATTGTTGTGTTCTGTTGTTTTAAAAGTGTGTTGGACAGTGTCACCGGAGCTACCAACATGAATCTGACCCAACTCCGGGAGGCAGTGGAAGACACGACTAAACGACTAAACAACTAAACAACAATAAAATTTATTTTATTTCCTATTTTTAATATAATACCTTAATTAATTTAAAATATTTATATATTTACTGTTTCTAGCTTTTGAATATCATATTTTAATGATGTGAGCCACCTTGGGTCCCTTTTGGGGGGAAGGCGGGACAGAAACAAATGAACAAACAGACAGGAGTCAAGTCCTAAAAATTTGTGGGTAAGATGACATTTTTGCAAAATCATTGATTTAGAATTTCAGAAAGCTAATTAGCAGCTCTTGGCAACTGTTTTAAAATGGTAACCACAGTTTGTTCAAATTAGTGTGGAAAGGAGGTTGATCTGATCTTGTTTCCATATTATTTTAATTTCTTGCAAATTTTTGTACTTTCTGTATATCTGAGGTTGCTTGTTGATGGAACTCTCACTTCTATAAGGTAAATTTTCCTTTTCTGCTTATTCAGAAGTATAATATCTGGTTTGATAAAATCATCTCTTTTATCTGTGATAGTCTGCTTGTCTCAATAGCAGCACATTTCATTTTCTTGCCAGCTTGCTGTTGCTGTTGCTTTTTTGAATCAGCTCTCCCAACCCACTTCTTCCACAGGGATGAACAACTTTCAGAAGATGAAGGGTCATACCCCCCCACCCATGGAGCCCTGGAGGGTTGAAACCATTCCTGTTCCCTACACAGTAAAAAAAATCTTTTTAAAAGGCTCTGTTTTATGGAAAAAAAGCTCCACCTCATGCCCTAGAGCCCTTCATCTTTTTTTAATTACAAAAACTGGGAGTGGAGACAGAGGTGCTCCCCCCCCCACCTCTCTCTCTTTCTGGGTGTTGTCTCAGGTTGGCTACCGTCATGATCTCTTGCTAGGCACATCGAAACATGGCAAAATTGCTTTCCATTGCTTCCTCAGAGGGCACAAGTTGACTTTCTGAGGTAAATTTTAAAATACATTTAAAAACAAAATAGGGTAGGGTGCTGGATTCCCACATTTAAGAGATGTACTTGCTCTCCAGGATACACTTTTCCTTCCTCTGTCTTCCACTGAGAAGTGACAGATTATCACAGGTTTTCTGTATGCTTCAAAAGGCAAGAACTTGTATTCTAAATTCCAGGGATACTGGGAAGTCTTTGGGTCTAAGTCCCAAGTAGGAGTCTTTGGCACCAAGTCCCAAGTCTGAGTCTTTGACCCCAAGCCACAAGTCCAAGTTCCTCTGAAAATCAAGCATTTTCCCCCAGAAAAAAGGGAGGAGTGAGTGGGTTCTGAATCATGAGTTGATTCCAAGTCACTGAAAAACAAACAAACCCCAAGCCGCGTTGAGTTGCCGGTGCGACTTAAGTCCAACCTGACAGTGAGTTCCATGACTCAAGTCCCCATCACCACTAAATTACTAGGGGATTACAGGCCCCTGTGTCACCCATGCCCGGGGGGATGGGGTCCCTCTGCAACACTGTGGGGCTAGTACCTGGGTTTGCAAGGGCAATCAAAAGTGTTGCTTCTCAACTGGTTTCTACCAACAGTAGTTTTTGCTGGACTTAAGTCCGTTCTTTACAGAAGAGCAGTTAAGAAGCCAAGCCCAAACTGTTTAACAATGTCTACTATGCATAAAGAAGACTGAATGTCCTACCGACAAGAACGTGCTATCTTCTGACTGAGGGGCAGGGGTGTAGTTTCCTTCTTGTGAAGTTGCTCTTGTAAGTTTCCTCGGTTATACACTCGTCGCTCCACGCAATACATCTGCTCTGATGCATGGCATATTTCATGTTCTCCAGCATGTTCCATGGTACATTTCAGTGAAAAGGAAGAAAAGAGAACCTGCTCTTTGCCGAGGCTATAAAAATATACACATATGAAAAGGACCGTTAGAGAAACACTTTCCGGGAGGAGGGGGAATAATAATATCTCAAAATGTTGCTGCAAAAGAAGGAATGCAACAAAGATACCATCCCATTTCAGTGGCCACTTATGAACAATGGCACAGGAGATCAAGAAGCCAAAATATGCAGCTCAGGATGCCAACATACCTATTGTCAGTTCAGCTGGATCGTCAGCTGGATAACTTCAAGCTACTACTCCTATGAGAGAGAATCAGGAAGGGAAGAGACATACAGAGATGATGTTACATGCGTATTTTTGATCCAGTTAAATTTGACCCTCCTCAAAATACAAGAAATGCTGTATTTTGAGAGAAGGAGGAGGGAGAGAAGTCAAAGAGCCCATCGTACAACCTGGTGACAGCTCTGCCCACTGTCCACCCATAGCCAACATCTCTACGAAACAGAATCAGAAGAGGAGGGATGAAAGGTACAGATAAAATCATAAAAGGCTGATTCAGTTGGAGTGCTTCAACTCTCTCATCCTTGCCTTGGTTACTCGTAGCTCATCCTTCTCCCTCTCCCTTCCCCCAGATTCAAAGGAAATATCTCACCCTTCTTTATTTGTAATAAGATGTTGCCTAATACATCCAGAAGCTATTAGGCAGAGATAAATAAATAAATTTATGTCTGTTCCTTGCTTACTCGTAGCTCATCCTTCTCTCTCTCCCTTCCCCCAGATTCAAAGGAAATATCTCACCCTTCTTTATTTGTAATAGGATGTTGCCTAATACATCCAGAAGCTACTATATTAGGCAGATGACATAATTACACATTGTCTTTGTTGTTGTTGTTTCTATGGGTGATTTCCCTCCCTCTTTACTTGAGCATTTTAAAGTTTGGTGTTATAGAATATTCCCCTGTTTTCACTTATCCCACAATAAAACATAAAATGGGGTGTAGAAAACCCCTTTGCCTGTTTGAATAAACTACATTCATACTATAGATCAGTGGTTCTTAACCTTTGTTACTCGGATGCTTTTGAACTGCAACTCCCAGAAACCCCAGTCAGGACAGCTGGTGGTGAAGGCTTTTGGGAGTTGCAGTCCAAAACTCCTGAGTAACCCAAGGTTAAGAACCAGTGCTATAGATCATACTAGGATGGACAGTGTAAGCCATATTTTCAAAACACCTTTACATAGAAAAGCTGCAGTAAGAATTACCTTAATCAAATATATCTTTAAAGCTTCATTCTGACTATGGACTAATTCATACTTTCCTGCTCTGGATTCCAATAACCAATGCCTAACTTCAGAACATGCACATAACATGCCAATCATAAATAGTAAATACACAAATTTTGTTTTTTGACTACGTCTCTGAGAAATTCCTAGATAGCCATGATGCTTATAGAATTCTGGGTTTTCTGCTATAAAATGTAGTGTTTTTATCTCTTAGAATTGTCTATTTACATTGTCTTGTATTATTTTTATGGTTGTTAGCCGCCTAGAGTGGTCCTCTCGGACCAGATAGGCGGGGTATAAATCAAATAAATAAATAAACCACAAATCTGCACACTTGTAATTTAATTATTGCTCTGCAAGCACAGCACATGTAAGAATTGCACAGTGATCATTTCCCAATCATAATAGAAACTGAGGAAGAAATGAGTCAGATATGCACTGCCATTCTCACTTGTAATGTCAGAGTGTGTATCTTGCAGTTGGTTGTCTACTGCTGAGAACAAAAAAGCAACGGAAAGGGAATTACAACAATGCTGTGTTACTCAATAACTTTATGCTTTATCTGATCACTACCTCACTCCTACACAGAGAATCTGTTGTTCAGTCATTACAATGTAATAATCAGATTGAATATATAAAAAATAGGAATTTGACTGGACTATAGAAAATCATCAGAAAGGAAGCTGATGATATAAGAAATACATAGCCATTAATGGTTGGCAGCAATTTTTCCTTATGTTACTTAATACGGAAGAGTTTTTAGTAGATGGCTGCCAGGAATTTCTCATACAGGCTGACAATCAGATGGCAATCATCATTATCTTAGAACTGTAGATCCAGAATGGACTTGAGTCCAGCCACCGTCAATGAGGCATAGTGGGGAATAAAACTCCCCGTCTCTGGCTCAGCAGCCAGATACCTAAACTAAGCTGTCCAGCAGTTAATATACAATAGCACAGCTTCACTGAACCAGGGGAGAATTTGAGTGTGGAATGATTTCAATCCCTTTGTTTTCCTGTGAAAGAAAATACAAGCGACCAAAAGCTACTCTTGGGCAATCTCAATATACAATAGGAAAACAAAGCACCTGAACTGACAGCAGTAAAAGCTATGAAACATACTCTTTATCAGAGAGATAAAAGCTACTGAGTGTTTCTAAGAGGCTGTACACAAGAGAGTTAAGTACTGTTGGTCCTTAAGTCTGAGTGATAAAAGTCAAGCTCCAAAAGAAATTATTGCCATTATCAAATTTAAAGCTTTTAGAAGAATACATTGCATACAGTACTACAAAGTAATTCCACCTGGGAATTTGTGCAAGTGTATAGGCAAGCTTGCCTCTAGTACCCAAAGCAAAGGCCTGTTATAGTCACTGACCGACTCTTCTTCCAATAAGCTAAAAGCTCAGAACAACTAGCTGGCCCTTTTACACATGGGACATACTGGCTAGGTGGTGACCACTGACAGTTGGGGGGGAGTCATCTATGTTTTTGAACAAGACACCCATTAGAGGTGTCCACCTAAGCAGAATACACCTGCATGGGTAAAGGAAGGCACCTGAAAGAAGCGTGGGGAGGGGAGGTATCTTGAGTTTGCTTGGTCTGAGTGAGACCTGATACAGATCCCAAAGATTGTATCAGACAGATGTGTAGGAATACCTTGTATCTACGTGTGCTTAGTTTACCAATTAGTAAATAAAGAAAACATTACAAGGATGTAGTAAATTTCTACCTCTTTCTTGTCTAGAGGAAAGTAACCTGGGTACTGTTGCAAATTCTCAAAACTCGGAAACATAAAAGAAACACAACATTGGACACTCATAACTTTAGCATTTCTGCAGTTCTGAGCTGTTGCATGAAAAGGATATATGATGTATCCTCCAAAGAAAGACCTTACTATCTTTGGTTTCAAGTCATTAAATCATTTATGTAGACTGCTTGTCTGGTACAAGCTGCTCCCTGAAACTGTTCAGGATCCTTTCTCTCCTAGAGTGGACTCTGAAGGCATAACCACCATCTCTGCACATGCAGATTTCAGTTAAAAAAAGATACCAAATGCACTTCTAAATTGTTTTTAAAACTCTAAGTCAGGGGTCAGGGAAATTTTTTTACCGTTTACCTCCCAAAAATTTATATACGTTGACATTACCCCCCCTTGGCTCTCGCCATCAGCAGCCAACCCCCCCGCCTCTGTGCTTGCCCAGGACCTGTGGCCACTGCCCGGGCAGCCAGTCTGGAGCCACCATGGTGCTGAGAAAGCGCGTCCTTGGCGAGGGGAGGCAGGCGCCGCAGGGCTGGCAGGTCCACTGGCCATGAGCTCAGGTGAGGTGGGGTGGGAAGGGGGCCTTCTCGCCAGCACACCGGGTGGGTGGGCACAGGCAGGAAGGAGAACCCCGGCTAGGGCTCTGCTGGGCAAAGAGTCCAGCTGGCCTGGTACACCACCCTCCCCCCCCACTTTGGAGGCAAGGAGGGCAGGCGGGTGCCCTGTGCAGTTCCTCGCCAGGGCTTGCTCTCCCCGCGATGGAACACCCGCCTACACACAGCATTGTCAAAAATAAAATGTCTGGGGGTAAAATGCCTGCTGCAACTATCCTCATTACCCCCAGGATTTTCATTTTTACCCCATTTGGGGTAATTTACCTCTGTTCCCTGACCACTGCTCTAAGTGGTACACCAAGTCTCTAAGCAGACTCAAGCCCATGTCTGCTGAGTCTCCAGCTAGATTCAGTTACCACAGAATAAAAATGGAGCTCCCAATGTAAGAAGATGTCTGTTTGTGCTAACAAAAGTTTGCTCCACATTTTGCAAAATTAGCTTGCTTTTGTTTTGTGCCTGGTTACTAAGAGATAAACACAGGCTTCATTTGCAAGTGTAAACTTCAAAGGGAAATGTACCATGCCTGGCTCTCTAACAGATGTACCACACTGCCAAATATTCATCCACATATTACAAGTTTACATTTAATTATGTATACACCTAACATTTGTAAGTTACATTCACCCCTAAAATATATGTATGAAATGGACTGAGATGCAGGAATGACATGCAAAAATCAGATGCATAAAGGATAATTTACTTTGTAGTTTGAAATAAGACAAAAGCTATTTATGCTAAACAATCAATATTATTTTCCTTAAACAAATTAAAATGAGACACAGCAAACTTAACTTATCTTGCAATATTCTGAGGAATTGATACAGTTTGTTTTAAAAAGCACCAATAATTTACAATTGCATTCCCAGGCTGAGTCAGCCTGTACAATAAACATGCCAGAATCAAAAATCTTCACCCTCTTACTCCAGACCATAAGAATTAGTCATTGAAGTAACCACAGTCATATATTTCAACATGTTCTCTTTCTGTTCTTATATTCATTTTAGGATAAACCTCTGTTGGGTTACAAAGCCCCAGCCAGTCACTGTTGCAAGTATTGACCAATGGTAAAAATGCTTACAGACAGCGTGCTATTCTGTACGTCCAGGAAAAAAAAGTGGAAAAAAGCAGTCCTGCAACAAACCCTCAGAGTCTTCGCTGAAAGCTGCTTCCTTTACACTTAAATTCACAGAAGACACTATGTGTTCTGATAAATGCTCCTTCCCTGAGCGCTCAGAGATTCTCAGCCACATCATAACAGACTTTCCATTATATAACTGAGAATCTTGATAATTTTGGGATTTGGGCCTAATTTAACAACCGTTATTTTCATAGGCAGAATATCTTGGTTATTTTAAAATACAACCTATCAAGCATAACTATCATAGGTCATTTGTGGATCAT